CTGTGAAATGCGTTGAAATACATTAACAAAGTACCAACAGATATTTCAGGAACAATCAAACAAAATTGTACACTGGCACTTTTGAAGTCAAGGAACAACTTTAAGAATATCAGTAACTCTATGTATTGTCAGTAGACTACTAATTGCAGTTTTGTTTGTCCAATACATTTGGGCTTATTATGACCTTTAATCTATGTATCCGATTGTCATGTTCCACCATGATGATGGTTTTTTAACCAAATAAAAGGCGGTAAACTCTTTTCAATTTCTGTTTCATATCTGTATATAGTTTTTGTTGTATATGGTTGGTACCTTTAAAGTCCTATTAGCTTTTTCTTGTTAGGGTTATATTTATTTCTTGTGTTGTAGGCTACTAGTCTTTCTTTTCCCAATCTCTGTAGTTCGGCTTCTTTTAAGTATGTCTGCCTTTTTCTCTTTCTTTCTACCTCCACTTCTTTCAAAGCCTTCAGTTCTACCTCATATAACCTACTATAATATTTTTGAAATACATGTGCGATATTCATGGTTGAATATACAATTTCCCCATTCTCATCTTTGATTTTCTCTATATAGTTCATCACTTTCTTATTCCTCAGTCTTTTCCTGGTCTATCCCCCACTGATATCTTTTTTTTTTTCGCCACCATGTTAAACATTCTCCTCGTTTCTTCTTCATTCAATCCTTTAATTCATATCTTTTTAGGATTATCTTCTGATATATATCTATTTCAGTTTTCTTTTTGTGTAGTTGTTCTAATTTGTATAAATCCTCTGTTAACACCCTGATTTTCTTCAACCGTTCTTTCTTTTTTCCGCCCTTATAGCAATCAAGATACCCCTTATATATGCCTTATGCACTACCCATACCATTGCTACTGAAACCCCTTCCATCTCATTTGACAAAAAATACTATTCTATTTCATCTCTTATCCTTATTTCCATTTCTTGGTCCTGTAAGAGCATCTCGTTTACTTTCCACATGTTTATCTTATTCTGCTCTTTCCCCAGTTGTAACTTCATTGTGACAGGAGCATGATCTGATATTGACATATTTTCTATATTAACTTTAACCAGGGACTCAAAGGGGTTTATTTACTAAAGCTGGAGAGTCCAAAATCAGACTCCCTTCTGCATAGAAACCAATCAGCTTCCAGGTTTCATTGCCAAAGCTTCATTGAACAAGCTGAGGTTAGAAGCTGATTGGTTTCTATGCAGAAGGGAGTCTGATTTTGGACTCTCCAGCTTTAGTAAATAAACCCCAAAGAGTCTATGTTCTACCGTTATATATAGTCCAATCTAGACTATGTCCCATGTGCTGAAGAATAGAACGTATAGTCTCTTTCCCCTGGATGTTTGATTCTCCAAATGTCCATCAACTGACACTGATGCAATATCCTTTTGATAGACTTTAGACATTTACCTCCATCTCTGCACATGTGACAATGTATCCATCCATGGGTCCATACAGAAATTAAAGTCTCCTGCCACAATCAGTTTACCCATCTTAAAATCTATAGGTTTCCTTGGTGTATTCTCCAGATAAATCATTGGGTTTTTGTTGGGACAGTAGATATTAACTAATGTGCACTCCAATTCCTGTAGCTTCCCCTCTCAGAAACAAAAACCGACCCTCTGGGTTAGTCAACCTATCTTCAATATTAAATCTTACATTCCTAGGAAACCCAATTGCAACCCCTTTTGCACATTTTATTGGTGTGTCAGCATAATACCAGGTTGGGTAATACATGGAATATAACTTAATATTTGTATCCTGAGATATGTGTTTCTTGTAAAAACACTACTTCAATAGAATGTTGATTTAATTCTCATAGGATCTTATGTCTTTTAGCTGGGGTATTCAATCCCTTCACATTATAGGTCAAAAACTTAATCACATTCATTCCTTATACTCTATCTTTTACCGATCTATATCCAATCTGTAAGGGAAGCAGGTGTCTATAATCTGGAACAAGAAGATATCTCCAGAGAATTCTTTCTCCCCTCCCCTCCCTCTTTTTTGAACCCGCTGTCCCATACTCTAGCTCTGGAATCAGATGCGATTTTGATCTCACAGTCGATTCCTCCTTCAGGGTGACACTCAAAACCAGTGCACCTTTCCAGACCGCTGTCTTCAATATTTGGGTCACGAAACCAGTGATAACCTGATAACCCGCCATGACGTTCTAAAGAAGATTTAGAGAAAAAAAAAAACTACTTCCTCAAAATACCTCCCTTAAACCTCCCCCTACCCTGTCCCCATGCTATAACAACCATTATGCCCTACTAATATCCTCTATTTCCTCTCTGGTCTCTGTTTTGGAACTCGATGCCACTTATCTTTTTCTAACTCTGCACTCTCCTTAACACATTCAAATCATCCCGGAATATCTATTATCTGTAAATCTAGTCTTTCACAGAAAGCCTTTAGATCCTCTGGGAATCTCAGCCTCACCGATTGTCCATCTTTCCACCCAATCAAGCACGCTGGGAAACCCCAATTATATCGGACTTTTTTTTTGCATCTGATCTAATAATGGTTTCAGAGATCTTCTTCTAGACAATGTCTCTTGTGCAATGTCTGCAAAGATTTGCAAGCTTGATTCTTTGTATTTTATTGCTGTAGTCTATAGCAACTTCTTCCAGATGTTTTCTTTATCTTCATAGTGGTGAAAGCATACTATCACATCTCTAGGGGTATCCAATGCCACTCCATAGGGCCGTCTAACCCTGTGTACTCTTACTATTTTCAGTTGCTCTGACACTGGTCTTCCTATTATCGGATTAAGCACTTTCCTCATTTTCTCCCATAAATCTTCTCCAGAGGATACTTCTGGCAAGCCCCGGATCCTCAACTTATTCCTTCTGTCTCTGTTCTCTTGATCTTACAGTTTATATGCTAACTTCCTTTGCTCCCTTCTCATTTCTTCCACCTGCGCTTCCAACTTAGTGATAACTTGAACATGTTTCTCTAGTTGTTCTTGTTTTTTCAACCCGTGATAGTACTTGACCCAGGTCATTATGTAATACAACCATTTCATTCTTTATTGAGAGTTCTAACTGCAAACATTTCTGCAATTTCCGTTTTTGTAGGCATTTGCGAACTTGATCCTTGTATTTCTGTATTTTCAGAATCAGTTTCACTTTCCATGTTTGTAGGTTCTTTAATCTGGTTCAAGTTCATTACACCTAATGACAATCTGGTTTGATTTCCAATGCTGTATACTGACTCATATCTTTCTCTTGCTCCCTGTTATCTCTCGGGGGTTTGACCCTCTGGGCTCTTTCCCTGTTGGAGCATATATTTCCTTATTGTACTTTTACTTGACTGAGGAGTTTTTGTTCTTTCTTCTTTTACAGGTCTATTCTTCATGTCCTTAAAATTGCCCTGCTGGGTCTATAGCTCAATGCCAAATACATTCTCAGGGTTATAATTGTTAAATCAGTTTCAGTGCAAGTGTTCTTCTGTTCATTATCTGAGATATATTATAGGGAATGTTAAGAGGATTTTACCTCCACCTCATGTACCCGTCCAGTTTTCCCTAATGGTACTTATTAGTCCATGGATAAAAAAAGAGAAACTCTCTCTCATTCCCTTTCTTCTGGACCCACTTGGTGACCCCTTGCTTCTCTCCTTGGTTCCCCCCTTTTATTTTAACAGTCCCAATGGCTATCTAAAACCCCCTGAAAAGTTTATTTTACCTTCACTCCCCTTAAGCATGCTTGATGTAGGGCATACAAATCTACCACTTCCCACGGCAACTCGCCCTCTCCACCCGCATGTGTGGGGGGGGACCTCTAATTCCTGTAGTATTCCTCCTCTCCAGACAAAATTTCTGTTGCAGGGGCACTCATGGTGGGTCCCAGTGGTTGCTGTTACTATGGAGAAATCACCCACCGTGGGTATCGCAGCTCCGGCGTCCTGTGTCAGCTGTCTCCTCCGCATTAGAGCGGCTTCTCCCAGTATTCCCCATCGCTGTCACGTGGGCACTCCCAGCATCCACCGCTCCGCTCGCTGGCGGTCCGCTCTCTGCTCATCCAGGGAGAACAGACTCTTAAACACCACCACACAAGGGGCACACAGGAGGACAGGTAGGGCAGGGCTCAGGTTTCTCTGTCCATCGTTACACGGAGCCCTTCACCTCTCACACACAGCTCCTTCAACTCTCTCACACACAGCTCCTTCAACTCTCCTAGCACGAGCTACCTATCGGCACCATGTTCAGGCCCCTTCCTTGATCCCAAGAGACTACCTACATACACTGTTATAAATTTGTTCATTTGAGAAATTTCCATCCTGTCTTATTTGAATTTTCTCATCACTGCGGTCGAAAACAAAGGTTAATTAGACCCATTAAAGATTAGAGAAAGGAAAGAACTTTCTTAAAACATTCTCTTTCTAAGAATGTTCGTTTGAAATTCAACTGTTCTATAGTCAGCTTTAGGCATGTCATAAACTTGCTAAATTCGTAAATAGTTTAGCATGCTATTAAAGCCGGCCGTGGATGAGTCAAAAACCAAACGAAATGTGTGTCAATCGTCGAATTGTTCTATTTTTGCATCATTAGTGTGCCAGCTGCGACACGCAATTTTGGTTTTGCAATTGAAAGTGCCTAATCCAACATACTGGGTTTTTTATTTAGAAAATCAAAAACAATTGTTGACACAATTATATGAGCTATTTTCATGTTTTGATTGACAGAATGTTCGGTTTTAGACTCATCTATGGCTAGTTTAAGTGAATAAATCTTTAGGTTTGGAGCTTGCGTCACTGTCAGAACCAAAATCTATGCAAAATTCATACATTCTGATATGATAAAAGGTTGCTTCCTTCCTTACATAACATTTTATATGATGGCAAAAGGAGAACAGGTGTGTCCTAAGCCATAACAACCAATTAGATCATACTTGTATACCTACACCATGTAGTTATTATGTGATGGGCTAATGACCTTTGTCTGATGTCTCCAGGAAGCAGAGAAGGCTGGTCCAGACCCCCTGTATGGACTACGGGTTCACTGCTGGGTTCTGGTTCTATCTGGGAAGAGAGAAGTCCCTGAGAACTTCTTCATTGATGCACTGACTGGCAACGCTTACCCAACTAAAGATGAAACATTTTCTAGGGATTGAGAGTGTGTGGAATCATGAGGACTACTGGGCCAATATGCAGGACTGTCGCAATGGCTGTAAGGTACCAGACATGGATTGTGTATTGACAGAATTTCAATTAAGGACATGCTGAGGGAAGGTGGGCCTGGTAAATCCTCTTCACAATGAACAGATGGAATGACTTTTGCCTACAGGACATGACTTTTGACCTGGGTGACCCTGTGTGCTGGGAAGTCATGTTGATGGGTTCTTCAAAGCCTCTTCTGCTTATCCCAGACATGGAGGAAGAAGACATAGAGGAGGAAGAGAATGACAACCAGGTGAGTCGATAGACAGCCAGCAAGTCACCAATGGATCTTTTTAGTAAGTTAGGCTAAAGGTGATAGCCCAAGGTGATCTGTGATTGGTTGCTATTGGTCACTTCACAAAGTAAGGGTCATTTTCACATAAAAGCTCTTCAATTGGTATTTTGTTTTAAAATATTTAATTGTGTTCCAGTACGGCACATGAGAGAGTCTCCTTCCCCCAAACAGGAACAGGAAATGCATCACCAAAAAAACACTTCAAGAGGAAGTTCTTCTGTGGAACTGGTCAGTTATTCTTTCTTCCATCTGGAGGAGACACATCACTTGGAACCTGTTGGTAGGCGGCACGGTTCAGGATTCTGGTCTGCAGTCCTCCACCCATCTTTTATTTTTTTTCTTTAGGCCCACTTCATCCTCCTAATAGTGGGACTCCCTTCCATTCCTCCCTCCCTCCCCTCAGTCTCTTCCTCTTTATGGACAGCAAGAGGCCTGGAGCCCACTGAATTTTAAGTGGCTAGGGAAGGTCAATACTGACCAAAGACTTACCCTCTTGGTGGGCTTGTGTGGTTCCTTTCTGACAGCAGTAAGGGAACATCCTTGCTGGGTACGAGCCAAGCTGAGTTCACTAGACTGGTGTACGCCAGGTGCCAAGTACAGGTGGAGTAATGTCACTGCCTAGGCATTGCAGCTCCTGGTTCTGGGGCTTTGCTAGCACAGAGGGATGTGGGTGGGCCAGCTGGAGCTTCTTCCTGCCAAGCCTCCTTGGAAAGGGGGAGTGAACGCCTGGAAGAGCACATATTGGGAGCACATTGACAGGTAAAAAGAAGTACACAAATAATCAGCCTCCTATGCTAATGAACATCACAGATCACACTTGTGTTTATCACCATGGCCTTATTCACAATTCTCTGTAAAATGTAGCCACTTCATTAGTTAAGATGGAGTCTGTGCAGGCTCACAACTAAAGCAGGAGCAGATGGCTGCCGATCCAGCATTCTTCTTGTGGATTACTGTAGGCAATATAAAGATAGTAATAACAGTAAAGTGGAAGCTGTACAGGAAACACACTGTCCTCTTGTATGAAGGTGAAGGAAAAACGTATATTACCCCATAGCAACCAAACACAATGTCCCATAGCTCTCTACTGCACCAAGAAAGATAGAATTCCATTGTTTCTCTCTCAGACAGATGTATGAACCAAGTTCTTGGTTGTCTTTAATGTTGCCCAGTATAGTATTTCAGAGACAATATTTTTGATGTGGAATAAGTGAGATTGGAAGCAAGTTTAGTTTTGGGACTATTTTCAGGGTTATAGATGTAAGGTTGGGATAGAGGTGGAGGATAGAATCAAGATTTAGAGTAACAGTTCAGAGTTTTGCTGATAATTTGAAGTTAGGTTGGTAGGTTCAGGGTTTGGGGTGATAGTTTAGGATTAAGTTAATGGTTTGGTGTTAGGTTGGTAGACCAAGGCTAGGTTGTTTTGGTGGATGGTTTAGGATTAGGCTGGTGGTTTGGAGTTACGTTGGTGGACCAGGGCTAGATTATTGGATTTATAGTTGGGTTGATAGTTTAGAATTAGGTTGGCGGTTCAGGGTTGGGTTGGTGGACAAGGGTTAAGTTGTTGATTTATAGCTGGGTTGATGGTTCAGGGTTAGGTTGGCAGTAGGTAGAGGGCTGAAATTATGTTCAGGGTTATGATTTAATTGAAGGCTGGGTTAGTTGTTAGGTGGAGGGATATAGATAGCAGGTAAAGTACGGGTTTGGACTATTTAGCGGGATACAGATTAGGTTGATAAATACGGTTGAAATTTGGCGCTGATGGTTGGGAAAAGGTTGATGGATACGGTTAGGTTGAGGGTAAGGGGTAATATATGAGTAATATTCAGATGGTTAGAGGTAGTGTTCAAGTAATTTTAAGATAGTTAGGAATACTCTTGGGTAATATTAATATGCTTCTTTATTAATATTAGCATTTTTAGATTGGTTATTGCCTTGCCCTCTACAAAAGTAGAGTAGAAAAATATCAAAACTGAGACCTGTGTAACAATGTTTAATCATATTACAGGATAAGGACAGCAAGATGATATTTCAGATGCCACCATCCTGGACAATGCCCATTGTCATCACGCCAAAAGGTTTGTAAGACATAATTTGTGTGAGGTGTGGTGAAGGACAAAATATTAAAGGAGGAAATAAAGAGTTATACAATGTCAAGAATTATCTAAGTATTGGTAGTTCCTTCAGTAGCCAATTAGATTCTCTTCCACCCAACTCTTCCTCTTTTCCTCAATTCTATGACTATTTTTATTTATTTTTTCCTTTCATGCACCCTCATTCCCCCTAATAGTCCTCCCACCTTTCTATTTCCGGACATACATTGATGCCCCCTTAAAAAAGAGGAAAACTCAATAGGCCACTTGGTGTTTTTCTGCTGCCACTCTCCTGTGTTTCTCTGTTTTATGGCTAATCTGTCATTCCATGTAGCAACGTTTTTAATATGTCTCCCCTCAGAGTACGAGATGCGTAGTCCTCTAGGAAAGAAGCTTCTACAATACAAGAAATCCAAGTTGGAGAAGTGGGCACCGTATGTGCAAGAAGATGGACAAGTTGGCCGCCTCACTATATACCAAGACACCGAATGTAAGTGATAAACTTTGGGGATAGTGTCATGGCCACTCTACACAGCATGACCACAAGAATTTTTTTCTCCTGCAGGCTCTCTGGTGGTGGAGGTCCAGGACTGGTTTAAGAACCGAATGGACAAACTGGACATGAGGCAACAGAAGAGACAGGCTGGAGTGACCACAGAATACTTCTCTCCAGGCCGCAGTGATGCTTTAAAAGGTGACTCTGAGAGTCATGAGATGTGGGGTGACTGGTAACCAACAGCCATGATTCTGAGTGTCTCTTCTTTTTCAGTTCATACATATCGCTCCTTAGCACCAGAAACAGAGCGTACCATGCTCTTCTACAGCAAGGCTCGACTTGATGGGCTGGAACGCCGTGATGAAAAACCAAAGGAGATGACTGAGATGTTCCAGGGACGACCAGACTTCCTCTACAGCAGAGTCACTATGTTTGGAAAACGGCCAAAGAAGGTGGCCATTGCAGGAGGACCTATGGAGGTCAATCCAAGACCAATCTTGGTAATCTGCACTTCCAATCCACACATCACAATAGAACCAACTAACCAGAAAACTGGAAATATTTTGATTTGCTTGAATGCATCTAGATTTTCCCATCCTGCAGAGAATCTTACAATTTGTGAGTCTCCATTGTCTGGGTTGTGTGATTCTCTTCATGTCAGAGAGGTCTGCTTACAAATCTGGCAAAAACATGTGAATTGCAGGCTCTACTATCTCAGTAGTGGTGAATCTGTAGAAGTGAAAAGATGACAATTCATTTTTCCATGAGTATACTTAATCCAGAATCATGCATGTCTCTGGGGCAGGCCCAGCTCTCTGGAAAGGGAACACAGACTCAGGTTTGGACACAAAACCTTCACAGGGCAGCGTCCTACAGCTTACTTTAGTGGGCTCATTCATAAAATCTATAGAAAGGTCACTGTGCTGGTCTCATAAGCCAGTCAGGTGCTTCCATACTTTTTCATACATGCGCTATGAAGCTGACAGCTGGAATATGATTAGTTGTTTGAAGTAAGGAATGTTATTATAACACAGGTTTTATTTTAATGGTGTGATGCAATGATTGTACAGAATTATTTCATGCTTTCTTTACGTAATAGAAAATTACAGAACGTTTCTGTAGAAACAAAGAGAAGCCAGCCAATGAGGATGTGGCAGAGCGTGTTTTCCTGATCACAGAGGGTCGCATAAATGTCCACTACCAACGGCTTGATGACCACATTACCACATCCTATTGGGAGTTCCAGAAACCGCCCAACCTAGGAGAGAAGGGCATCTCCATTGTTCTGAGCCCAGAAACTTGCATCTCCTACCAGGTAACCAGCTGAATATAGCTTGGAGGTCTACCAGGAAACGTCACCATTTAGCGTGTGGCCCTAAAGGTCCCCAGTCAGAATTTCCAAAAGCCACCTATGCAGATATGGACCTGCCATATAGATTCACTATTAGTAATACTTTACTATACTATATAAATAACTGTGTACAGTCATCTTGGGCACCAGATTTACTATAGACACAGTACAGAATCAATGCAGAGGCTAGGACACAAATTCACCAATGACAACACTCTACAGGATCCAAAAGGCAGGGAACAGAGTCACCATACAAGTTTATTGTGCAATCCACAGAATAGAGTTGTTATATATTAGCACTATGTAGGGTCTTCACAGAGGCCATGATTTACAGTCACTATGATCATTGGGTCTTCATAGAAGCCATTGTATAAAGTCACCATACAGGATCACTTTGTGGGGGGTCTTCATAGAGACCATTGTATAGAGACACCATACATGACCATTGAGTAGGGCCTTCATAGAGGTCATGATGTAGCATCACTATACATGTTCATTGTGCAGGACCACTGTAGAGGTCACAGTGTATAGTCACTATATTGGTTGTATAGGGTGTTCATGCAACCACAATGTAGATTCTCTATAGCAGCCTTTCCCCACCAGGGTTTTGTGGAACCTTGGAGTTCCTTCATAGTTTTCTAGGGGTTCTTTGAGCAATAATCGGCTTCTGCCTCTCAGATGAGTAACCTCTGACAACAATGATATTTTTAGCTATATGTAAGAGGGAATTCTTCCCAATGACCATCACACTAATGTACTATGAGCTGTAGACATAGTCATTATTAGCAGGGGTTTCCTGGACCTAGAATGTTAATTCAAGGTTCTGTGTTAACAAGGCTGAGAAAGGCTTCTGTATAGTATCCTCCACTCCATGACACAATACTTTGACAATATGGGATTTCTGCATCTAACCCTACTTCCACAATACAACAGGTGGAGACTCGCTCTAATGTCACTCATTTTTACCACCAGGTTGAGCCCTCTGAGAAGTTTAACAAACAGCTATATGTCTATGAAAACTCTTCTCCAGCTCCAGGAGGGGGAGCGGAGTGCCAAGGAGGCCATGAGGAAGGCTGAGGCAGAGGTGAAGCATTCATCTGTATGTGTGAAAATGCAGATTCCGCTGCATTCAGATATGTTCTGGTTACAGTTTGAGCTAACCCAATGGTATTATCAAAGAGTTTCAGGGACACATGACAATAGTTTCTAAGGGGTCTGTTTATAAAGGATTACTGGGAAAATTTGCAGAGTGAATGGCATTCACTTGAAGTACCACAGGGACACTTACCCTATCCATTATAATTCCCAGGGGAGAATAGCAGTCAATGTCAGATACAATGAGTTTACACCAGGTGATTTATTGGATTTGACTCCGTTTTTGTACTGGAGGGTTAATGTAAACTAAAAATTGGGAAAACAGCATGCTCACCAGTAATGGGGGAGTTGTATCCTCATACCAACTCATATACCCTTCAGCATTGGAAGATAATTAGAGAGGGGTTCCCCCCTTAATTAAAAAGTGCAAAGCAAAACTACACTAACCAATGCTGAAACCTATCAGGCTGTTTGGCACCCAGGGTGCCGGCAAGAAGGAGGCGTATGTGCCACCTACCTGTCCTGCATGAGGTGCCCCTACTGGAGCAAAAAAGCACTTTAATGGCTTCAAACAAGCTGATAGATTTCTTTATTATTTCTGCTGTATACACGGCTTGGTATTCAATGCCCACAGTTGCCCGTATACTAGTCGAACCACCTTCATACATTCATATGGAAATTCTGTACAATCTTTCATCAGAACATTTGCTCCTGCCTTCACTGAGTCAATTCTTTTTATTGGAAAACCTGCAGAATTTTCTCCAGGTCTGATAATAGAATGGAGCCCCAGACATACTAATCAGGTTTCATTACAATTTGTGTGATTGTGAATGAATGTGAATTAAATCCACATACACATTTTATTTTATGTGATTCATTTATTTGTTAAAAAAATATTTTCCTTTATGACCCTTCTTTACTACAGTCAAAAAAGAATGTCAATCTGACCCCACTACCCATCAGAAAATGAAACGAACGCTCTGAAAGCCAACATCTTAAGAAATTCTGCTAAAATATGTCCGGCTTAAAGCGGAACCAAAACCATCAATGCAACTGCTTCCCAAAACAGTTAGATTCAAAGCATGCTGTGAATGAAAACAGTTTCAGTTGCTTGTGCTCTCAACCAAATTGTCAAGCTCGTAAATGGCTGGTCTCATAACTGATCACATGTCAGCACTATGGTAACTGCAGATCAATTAAAGTTTAAGCTCTGATGGCAGCTTCCTTGACTGTAAAGGAGGGTTTAGTTCCACTTTAAGTTTCCACCATTATCAACTGTCAGTTTTCTAGTCAGAAAAGTCATTCTGGTCACATTCATTCATCTCACTAATATATGGCAGATCACCATGCTGTCTTGTCTGGTCACATGATCCCTTTCATTCATCTCATTAGTATATGAAAGATAACCATGCTGTGTCTCCTGTGGTCATATGGTTCCCTCTCATTCTTCTCATTAGTATATGGCAGATCACCGTGCAGTCTCATCTGGTCACATGATCCCGTTAATTCATATTAGTATATGGATATCACTGTGCTGTGTCTCGTCTGGTAACATGATGCCTCTCATTCATCTGACTGGTATATGCCAGATAACTGTGCTGTATCTTGTATGGGCAGGTTCTTGAGATCCTCAAAGTCCGGGCTCAGGAAGAACTGGATCCTGAGCTGACGATCTCCATCTATGACACCGAGCGGAACGAGAAGAGTAAAGAACAAAGAGAGGCGCTGGTAAGAGAAATCCACCCTATCTCTGAATACTTTCTGTGGGTGCGGGCATTAACAGTGACCCTCCCCCCCTCCCATTTGGGGTGCAGACCTCAACAATCACCCCTTTTCTTCAATATAGGTGTGGACCTCAGCAATCTCCCCCTCTCTTCGATGTAGGTGCCGACCTCAACAATCACCCCCTCCCTTCCATCTTAGAGGAGTGGAGCCATCTTCTCAGAAATGTTGGGGGAGGGTTGAGGGATTCAGAAGCATTCCAGTATCCTATATACTGTGAAACCTACCTGTGGTTTAGTGATGTTACTCTTCTTTCACAGGAACGAGCTGCTCGGGAAGAGCGCCTCCAATGTGCCTTGCTGGAACTGGACTACTTAGCGTCATTCTTGGCACGTTTGGGAAATCCAGAGAGACTGACCCGTGCACAGGCCCAGCAAGTGAGGGAAGACTGCCTGAGTGACCTGAAACATAGGCTCATTGAGCAGGCCAATCTCATCCAGGCACGGTTTGAGAAGGTAAGTACTTCTACACCGCCTGTAATACTATCGTCACAATATGAGCAAGGAGGGCCATTTACATCAACTGGTAACTGTCCTTCATCTGGGTTCTTCTCAGTGCTTGTTCATGTGCAGATATCTCCACATGTTGTCAAAGGGATATCCAGTGTGTAGTGCTGTGGCCATTGCTTACGAACATGATCTAGATCAGTCCTGTCGGTACTTATCCAACAAACCATCAATCACCTCTGCTGTTCAGGGGGTCATTGTGTGGATCACGGTTTTCACCCAGAGTTTCCTTCTTGCTGTAGGAAACCCAAGAACTTCAGAAGAAGCAGCAATGGTACCAAGAGAACCAAACTTCCATGACCCAGGAAGTCCAGGACACCTACACAGAGTACTGCTCAGAGGCCATGTTCCGAATCCAGATTCTGGAGGCCCGTCTTACCAGGTACCCCGCATGTCCCCCCAGAGTAATGTCCATACAATGTATACAAAGCATACAATGACCAGTAACATTGTCTGTCTGTATAGGCACAAGGAACTCGCCCCACGAAAGTACTTGGCTCTAGAAGATCGACTCAACAAGGACCCGAGATTGTGTGAGGGGCTCATCTCACTGCAGCCTGGAGGACACCAATGATAAGCCAGTCCTGTGGATTCCTCTGCTGTGTCTCTGACTGCTAAATGTAAATTTTCATTAATAAATATTAGTAAAAGATTGTGATTGGTGTGTGTCCTGTCATGGGGGATAGAGAGGGGACAGACTGGGGAGGGGGGCAATTTGTTGGGGGGGAATGGGGTACAGCTACCATTTTGTGGCATACAACAGCTGGATAAAGATCTCCCTGCATTTTGGATTGGAGGATCAGTAGAAATTTCAAGAAAAGATCTCATAGTAAATCGGCATTGGGACTGATGACAGGCTTTGATGAGAAGGAACAACAATGGGGACCAATCAGAACCAGCTGTGGTCTGGTGTTTATGTAACGAACCACACTCAGGACCATTACTGGGGCTGAAGATGGATCTGGGCCTAGCTGATCAAATATAGTCAGGGATTCAGGTTATCAGTACTTAGTATATTCTGGGGCTGTGTACCAACATGTACCATAGTGTAGTATATTCTCAGATGAGAGGACACATATACCGTAGTGTAGTATATTCTCACATAAAAGACACATACCTTAATATAGTATTCTGGGATGAGAGGACATATATACCGTAGTGTAGTATATCCTCAGATGAGAGGAAACCTTTACCGTAGTGTAGTATATTCTGGGATGAAAGGACACACATACCATAGTGTAGTATATTCTGGGATGAAAGGACACACATACCGTAGTGTAGTATATTCTGTGATGAAAGGACACACATACTGTAGTGTAGTATATTCTGGGATGAGAAGACACATATACCATAGTGTAGTATATTCTGGGATGAAAGGACACACATATCGTAGTGTAGTATATTCTGGGATGAGAACACACATATACCGTAGTATAGTATATCCTCAGATGAGAAGACACATATACTGTAGTGTAGTATATCCTCACATGAGAGGAAACCTTTACCGTAGTGTAGTACATCCTCGGATGAGAGGATGTCACCAAGTCGCAGCAATCAAGCATAATAAGCACCAATTAGGCAGCTTTAAAATGAGTACTCAGCTCCTTCTAGACATTTACTGGATTGGTTACAAACATGGTGAAGGCAAGAGAATGGTCCAGGAAGACAAGAGAAGAGGTGATTTCTCTTCACATGTAAGGGCAATGGCTATAAGAAGAATTTGTAGTAATATTGCACCTTAGGAAGCATCATTCGCAAAATCAAGGCAATGAAACACACCTGGTCGTGCGTGGCAGAAAGATGACTGACTTGACTGTACTGCTGTGCGCTACCTGAAGCGTAGAGTGGAGAGAAGTCCCCGTGTGACATTGTGACTGCTGAGGATGAGAAAAGATTCGGTCACAATAAGACGCACATCTGCGTAATGTAAGGCCTACTCCGTGCCAGAAACTCCCAGGCGTACCCCCTTGCTGTCTCCAAAGAATAAGAAGAGTCCGATTCTGCAGTATGCCAAAAGCCATGTGGACAAACCACAAAAGTTGTAGATAGTGTTCTGTGGACTGATGAAACAAAATTAGAATCCCATGAGATCAACGCTATGTATTGGATGTAAGAACAAGGAACCCACATGAAAATACACCTTGCCTACTGTGAAGTATGGTGGAGGGTCAATCATGCTTTGGGGCTGTTTTTTGCTTCTGACAGGTACAGGGATGGGCTTCAGCTGTGTGCAAGGGTACACATTGGATAATGCAGTCCGTCACACACCTAGCTTGGGAGACGTTGGACCTTTCAACAGGTATACCCTCCAAGTCCATAGAGCATGGTTGTGCAGAGGAAGGCTGGAACATTTTGGATGAGTGGCCATCGCCAGTCACCAGACTTTAAATCCGATTGAGAACCTCTGGTGGGACTTAAAGAAAGCAGTTGCAGAGGATGCGCAAGCCTAAGAATGTGACTGAACTGGAGGCCTTTGCCATGGGCGAAGTATACCCGTAGTATCGCTATGCAAGACACTTGTGTCAAGCTATGCTTCACGTTTAAAAGCTGTTATAACTGTAAAAGGATGCTGTACTAGTTACTAAGATTTGAATGTCACTTGGGGGTTGAATAAAACTGATAAATGCTGTGAGCACAGAAAAGACATTTGTGGTTATTTCATTATAAGTGTTATGTTTATATTTGTCTGACCTACAAGACACTTTAATGTAAATGTAGCAAGATGACTGAATGATAGTGCAATGTATATGGCCAAAAACACTCAATTTGGGATGAATGGAGGAGGTGTAAATTTTGGACACAACTAGCGTAGTATATTGTGCTTGGATGAAAGGTATACCGTAGTACAGTATATCCTCGGGATGAGAGGACACATATACCATAGTGTAGTATATTCTAGGATGAAAGGACACACATACCGTAGTGTAGTATATTTTGGGATGAGAAGACACATATACCGTAGTACAGTATATCCTCATATGAGAAGACACATATACTGTAGTGTAGTATATCCTCAGATGAGAGGACACAAATACCATAGTGTAGTATATTCTGGGATGAGAGGACACATATACCATAGTGTAGTATATTCTGGGATGAAAGGACACACATACCGTAGTATAGTATATTTTTGGGATGAGAAGACACATATACCGTACTACAGTATATCCTCAAATGAGAAGACACATATACTGTAGTGTAGTATATCCTCAGATGAGAGGACACAAATACCATAGTGTAGTATATTCTGGGATGAGAGGACACAAATACATAGTGTAGTATATTCTGGGATGAGAGGACACATACACTCACCGGCCATTTTATTAGGTACACATTGCCAGTATTGGGTTGGATCCCCTTTTGCTTTCAGAACTGCCTTCATTCTTCATGGCATAGATTCAACAAAGTGTTGGAAACCTTTCTCAGAGATTTTGGTCCATATTGACATGATAACATCACGCAGTTTCTGCAGATTTGTCAGCTGCACATCCATGATGCGAATCTCCCATTCCACCACATCCCAAAGGTGCTCTATTGGATGGAGATCTGGTGACTATGGAGGCCATTGGAGTCCAGTGAACTCATTGTCATGTTCAAGAAACCAGTTGGAGATGATATGGGCTTTGTGACACGGGTGCAATATCCTGCTGGAAGGAGCCATCAGAAGATGGGGACACTGGAGTCATAAAGGGATGGACATGTTCAGCAACAATACTCAGGAGGGCCGTGGTGTTTAATCGATGGTCAGTTGATACTAAGGGGCCCAAAGTGTGCCAAGAAAATATCCCCCTACACCATGACACCACCAGCCTGAACTGTTGATACAAGGCAGGATGGATCCATGAGTTCATGTTGTTTATGCCAAATTCTGGACCCTACCATCTAAATTTTGCAGCTGAAATTGAGGCTCATCAGACCAGGCAACGTTTTGTCCAATCTTCTATTGTCCAATTTTGGTAAGCCTGTGCGAACTGTAGCCTCCGTTTCCTGTTCTTAGCTGACAGGAGTGGCCTTCTGCTGCTGTAGCCCATGTACTTCAAGGTTGGACGTGTTGTGCGTTCAGAGACGGTATTCTGCATACCTTGGTTGTAACGAGGGCTTATTTCAGTTAGTGTTACATTTCTATCATCTCGAACCAGTCTGCCCATTCTCCTCTGACCTCAACAAGGCATTTTTATCCACACAACTGCCGCTCACTGGATATTTTCTCTTTTTCAGACCATTCTCTGTAACCCTAGAGATGGTTGTGCGTGAAAATCCCAGATCAGCAGTTTTTGAAATACTCAGACCAGCCCGTCTGGCACCAACAACCATGCCACGTTCAAAATCACTTAAATCCCCTTTCTTCCCCATTCTGATGCTTAGTTTGAACTTCAGAAAGTTTTCTTCACATCTAGATGCCTAAACACATTGAGTTGCTGCCATATGATTTGCTGATTAGCAATTTGTGTTAATAAGCACTTGAACAGGTGTACCTAATAAAGTGGTTGGTGAGTGTATACTGTAGTGTAGTATATTGTGAGATGAGAGGACACATATATCCAGTGCCGGTAATACAGTGCCCTGGGTGAAGGTGGAAAAAACAATGGATGAAAAGTGATCCAATGTGAATTGTTATTCAGAGGGCTACTGCAGTCTAATCTAGCCCTAAGTCTTTGTTCACACTAAGGCTGGTACACGCATGGTTTTTTACAGCAGTTATAGGACAGCTCATTCATTTCAATGACATTTAATGACTGCACTATACATTAAAAATGTACGAAAGAAGTACAGGACCCTTTTAAAAAATTGTGTTGCACCAAAATGCATGGTATTGTGAAACTTGTGCGTTGTGGCACAGATAATTGAGTGCAAAAGCGCACATATTAGCAAGGTGCAGGAGGCGGCCATTAGGATTTAATGCACCACTGCAAGCCTGCAAAAGCCCTGTGCATTTTTGTGCATTGTGGAAACACAATTTGCGCATTTTCCTGCAATGTACAAATACTGTAAGAAAGTGAGGAGGCTAAGGGGGTCTGTGGAGAACAGGAGAGGGGTCTGAGGAGGAGGGGGAGAGGACTGAGGAGGAGGGGAGAGGTCTGAGGAGAAGAAGAGAAGGTTCTGAGGAGGGTAGGGTTCTGAGGAGAAGAGGAGAGGGATCTGAGGAGGGCACGGGTCTGAAGAGGATAGGAGAAGAGAAGAAGAGAGGGGTCTGAGGAGGAAGAGAGGGATCTGAGGAGGAGAGGAGAGGGGTCTGGGGAGGAGTGGAGAGGCATGAGGAGGAGGGGAGAAGTCTAAGGAGGAAGGGAGGGGTCTGAAGAGGAGGGGAGGCTTCTGAGGAGGAAGAGAGGGGTCTGAGAAGGAGGGGAGAGGTCTGAGGAGGGGAGGGGTCTGAGGAGGAGGAGAGGAGTCTGAGGAGAAGAAGCGAGGGGCCCGGGAAGGAGGGGTCTGAGGAGGATGAGAGCAGAGGAGGGGTCTGAGGAGGAAGGGAGGGGTCTGGAGAGGAAGAGAGGGATCTGGGGGGGAGGAGAGGGGTCTGAGGAGGAGTGCAGAGGTCTGAGGAGGGGTGGGTTATGAGAAGGAGAGGAGAGGTCTGAGGAGGAGAGGAGGGTTATGAGAAGGAGAGGAGGGGTCTGAGAAGGAGAGGAGAGGTCTAAGGAGGAGGGGAGGGGTCTGAGGAGGAAGAGGGGAGGGGTCTGATGAGGAGGAGAAGAGAGGTCTGAGGAGAAGAGAGGTCTGAGGAGGAGGGGAGGAGTCTGAGGAGGAGTGGAGAGGTCTGAGGAGGAGGGTGTGGTGCTCAGTTCCCTCCCCCTTTTACTTACAGATCATTCAGCCCAGAATGAAGGTAGCTCCTCCTTCTTTCCCCTCTTAGGTCACGTTATATGTCACATGACAAGGTTGTTCAGGAAGAAGAGCATTTCCGCCCTCACTACCCATCGGCCCGCATTGTGACTAAAGTGAGTTCTCAGTCTCAGCGCCAGCTCTCTTCCGCCACCTGCAGGCTGAAAGGAAGGTGAAAACCTAAAGCTCCCCCCCATTAGCCCCCCCACCTTCCTGTGCACCCCCCTCCTCAACACAACGCCCGGTAAACCTACTCCTTCTCTACCCCCATCTTGTTTTGGCCCGGTATCTGCATAAACCCTAATTGAGTTCAATGGGGAGGGTCCTTGTAGCTCAGTCACATAGGGGGCGGGAGACTCCACTGCCAGGAACTGGTATGGCCACGGGGATCACTCGGCGCGACAGAATGATGTAGACGCTCACCGTTGGGGGCGGGGTCCGGAGCTTTGTTGTGAAGTTGGTTGTCAGGGAACAGCGAGTGGGAGAGAAGACATAAGAACACGTGACCAACACCTGAGACCCCCGTGAAAGCGGAGAGGTGAGAGACCCCCTGGGGAAGGATAGGAGAGGTGTGTGCCCCCTGCCTTACCATTCTGCCCCCCTTCCTTCCCCTGTGCCTTTCCTTGTCCTCCACCCACCTCCCCCTTTCTCCCCTCTGTCCCTCCCTCTCTTTCTTCTTCTGTGTCCCCCCCCCTCCCTATGTGTGTCCCCTGCCCTCCCTATGTGCCCCCCTCCTCTGTGCCCCCTGCCCTCCCTGTGTGTCCCCCCTCTGTGCCCCTGCCCTCCCTGTGTGTGCCCCCTGCCCTCCCTGTGTGCCCCCCCCCCCCCCTCTGTGCCCCCTGCCCTCCCGATGTGTTCTCCTCTGTGCCCCCTGCCCTCCCGATGTGTTCTCCTCTGTGCCCCCTGCCCTCCCGATGTGTTCTCCCCTCCTCTGTGCCCCCTGCCCTCCCTGTGTGCCCCCCTCCTTTGTACCCCCTGCCCTCCCTGTGTGTCCCCCCTCTGTGCCCCCTGCCCTCCCTGTGTGTGCCCCCTGCCCTCCCTGTGTGTCCCCCCCCCCCTGTGCCCCCTGCCCTCCCGATGTGTTCTCCTCTGTGCCCCCTGCCCTCCCTGTGTGTCCCCCCCCCCCCGTGCCCCCTGCCCTCCCGATGTGTTCTCTCCTCTGTGCCCCCTGCCCTCCCTGTGTGTCCCCCCCCCTCTGTGCCCCCTGCCCTCCCGATGTGTTCTCCTCTGTGCCCCCTGCCCTCCCGCTGTGTTCTCCCTCCTCTGTGCCCCCTGCCCTCCCGATGTGTTCTCCCCTCCTCTGTGCCCCCTGCCCTCCCTGTGTGCCCCCCCTCATCTGTGCCCCCTGCCCTCCCTGTGTGCCCCCCCTCATCTGTGTGCCCCCCCCCCTGTGCCCCCTGCCCTGTGTGTGCCCCCCTCATCTGTGCCCCCTGCCCTCCCTGTGTGCCCCCCCTCATCTGTGCCCCCTGCCCTCCCTGTGTGTGCCCCCCCCTCTGTGCCCCCTGCCCTCCCGGTGTGTTCTCCCCTCCTCTGTGCCCCCTGCCCTCCCGGTGTGTTCTCCCCTCCTCTGTGCCCCCTGCCCTCCCGGTGTGTTCTCCCCTCCTCTGTGCCCCCTGCCCTCCCGGTGTGTTCTCCCCTCCTCTGTGCCCCCTGCCCTCCCGGTGTGTTCTCCCCTCCTCTGTGCCCCCTGCCCTCCCGGTGTGTTCTCCCCTCCTCTGTGCCCCCTGCCCTCCCTGTGTGTGCCCCCCCTCCTCTGTTCCCCTGCCCTCCCTGTGTGTCCCCCTCCCCCCTCCTCTGTGCCCCCTGCCCCCTCCCTGTGTGCCCCCCCTCCTCTGTGCCCCCTGCCCACCCTGTGTGTCCCCCCCCTCCTCTGTGCCCCCTGCCCTCCCTCCCTGTGTCCCCCCCTCTTCTGTGCCCCCTGCCCTCCCTGTGTGTCCCTCACTCCTCTGTGCCCCCTCCCCTCCCCTGTGCCCCTCTTCTTCTGGATAATAATAATAATATAAATCCTCTATAATGATAACTATGTTTTGTCTGGCAGGTACCCTATGTGATACTTCATAGTTGTCCACCAAGGCCGGTTACTGGGGGGTCCGACCCCTCTGGGGGCAGAATTCTCCCAGCTACACACCAACATGGCTGCGCCGGGGATGACGAAAACTACATGGAAGCTGCGTAAGTCTGTCGGCCCCGTCCGTGTTGTCTGTCGGCCCCGTCCGTCTGTCGGCCCCGTCCGTGTTGGCCCCAACCGTCTGTTGGCGTCGTCCGTCTGTCGGCGTCGCTCCGTCGTCGGCGTCGTCCGTCTGTCGGTTCCGTCGGCGTCGTCCGTCTGTCGGTTCCGTCGGCGTCGTCCATCTGACTGGCTGCCGGCCCCGTCCGTGTCGTCCGGCTGCCGGCCCCGTCCGTGTCGTCCGGCTGCCGGCCCCGTCCGTGTCGTCCGGCTGCCGGCCCCGTCCGTGTCGTCCGGCTGCCGGCCCCGTCCGTGTCGTCCGGCTGCCGGCCCCGTCCGTGTCGTCCGGCTGCCGGCCCCGTCCGTGTCGTCCGGCTGCCCGCCCCGTCCCGTGTCGTCCGGCTGCCCGCCCCGTCCGTGTCGTCCGGCTGCCCGCCCCGTCCGTGTCGTCCGGCTGCCCGCCCCGTCCGTGTCGTCTATCTGACTGGCTGCCCGTTTTGACCATGTCATCTGCCTGCCTGCCTGTGCTCCTGTCTTGTCTGTGATGTGTGTCTGTCTGTCTTCTCCGTGTTGTCTATTCACTCTGTCTTGTCCCTCCTCCTCATATTGTCTCTTCACATCTTGTAGAGGAGTTTGTTGCTCACGCCAGCAATGTGTCAGCTGTGGCATTGGGGAAGAGTTCAGGCCGTCTCTTGGCCACGGGGGGAGAGGACTGCCGAGTCAACCTGTGGTCCGTGAATAAACCCAACTGCATCATGGTGAGAGCAGTTTGTGATCTGCTACTGTTCCTCTGTACATTGTTCTGTGTGTCCCTACATCACCCCCCACCCCCCTCCAACTTTTCATGTGCCTCCTCCCCTCACGGTTTCTGTTTTTCCCACCTCTCCATCTCTCTGCGCACCCCCCCCCCCCCACTACATCTCTGTCTCTCTCTCTCCCCCCTCATCCCATCATCTCTGTCTCTCTGCTTCCCCCCCAATATAACTTCAATTTGTTTGGTATGGTAGAGTCTGACCGGTCACACATCCCCAGTGGAGAGCGTGAGGTTCAACCCATCGGAGAAGCTGATTGTTGCCGGATCGCAGTCTGGATCTTTGCGGATTTGGAATATGGAAGAAGCCAAGAGTAAGATCTAAGTTACCAGCTTGAGTTTTTCTCTATAAAAGCTGAATCTTGATGTCTGTGTGTAACGTCTTCCTCTCCTCAGTACAGAGAACGTTAATGGGTCACAAGGCCAGCATTTGCAGTCTGGATTTCCATCCCTATGGGGAATTTGTGGCATCCGGGTCCCTTGACACAAATATTAAGGTACAAACATGTCAGTTGTGTGAAGGACAGTCTGTGTCTCTCCCAGCAACCAATCGGTGTCTTCCCTATAGGAAAGTGAGAAGCTGATTGGTTGAGAGGATGCTCAGTCTATTGGTCAGACGTTTTGTTCTGCCATTGTTAGCCATGTGTGTGTAGAAGTTGTTGTGGAGTGTCTGTGTTCTGCTGAACAGGAATCCGTCCAGTGAGGGCTCTTGAATGTCTCTTCTGAACCAGTGAAGTGAAATCTGGTTTCTCATCTTGGCTGTAATCTGATTCTGATATGTTGTTTCTCTCTGTGTTGTACAGCTCTGGGATGTGCGGAGGAAAGGTTGTGTGTTTCGATATAAGGTGAGTGTAGCGCTGCCTACAGCCACCTGTAGTCACCATGTTACTCCTTCAGTTATGACTTCTTCTCTTCCTTCTGCAGGGTCACACACAAGCTGTGCGCTGTCTGCGGTTCAGCCCGGATGGCAAGTGGCTGGCATCCTCTTCAGAGGACAGCAGTGTGAAGGTTAGTGGCAGATTTCCTACCCAGAGTAATGAAGAGTTTACAGTATATACTGCTGTGTTGGGGAAACTATAGATGGCCTGAGCTTGGATAACAGGGGAAGGCAATGTATGTAGATAGTCTGACTTGGGATAATGGGGGGGTGATGTCTGTAGATGGTCTATAGTAATATAATAGGGGAAGGCAATGTATGTAGACAGTCTGACCTGGGATAAGGGGGGGGGGCGGCGGCGGCAGCGATGTCTGTAGATGGTCTATAGTAAGATAATTATTATTATTTTATTATTATTATACAGTATTTATAAAGCGCCAACCGTTCGCTCAGCGCTGTACATTACAATGGGAGACAATACATGAGACAGTACAATAACAATACAATGCAATACACGAGGGGTTCAAGGGCTCTGCTCCTTGCAGCTTACAATCTAGGAGGGAGGGGATAATGAGGGAAGGCAATGTTTGTAAATGGTATAATATAGGGGGTGGGGATGTCTGGGTCATGGGGCATAAGGGTATTTGTAGACATACCAGCATTTACTCCACTGACTCCATGTTGCCCTCCAGCTCTGGGATTTGAGTGCCGGGAAGATTATGTCAGAGTTTACGGAACACCGGGGGCCGGTCCAGATTGTGGAGTTTCACCCCAATGAGTATTTGCTGGCCTCAGCGAGTGCAGACAGGTAAGGAGAGGGGCAGACTTCTCTCTGTATTTGGTGACGTGTATCCCGTTATTCTCAATCTCACTCTCTTGGTATTGCAGGACTGTGAGGTTCTGGGATCTGGAGAAGTTCCAGCTGGTTGGCTGTGTGGAAGGAGAAGCGACTCCTTTCAGGTGAGACTTACTGCTGGGGATTGTGGGCCGGGACATGTTGTATTCATCCCATAGAGCTTCCTTCCCAGCATCCTCAGAAACCTATGAACATGATCTGATTGGATGACAAATTCATGTCTGTGAGTTTAGGGAGCCCCTGACTGCTGTCGCACAGGAACAGTGATTGGACGGGTAATAATGTGGCCACTAGCAGTAGGACTGAGCATACATGTCTATGGCAGAGAGCAAACATGTCTGCCGTCTCTTGTCTGTGCGCAGCCTTACACTACAATGGACAGCCAATCACAGGTGATTTATTCTTCCGAAGCAAATATGCCTTTGCACATTGGTACTGACTAGTATTCCAATGTTTCTCTTCTCCATCACTTTTTCTCCCTCATTTAGCTAATGTGACCCCAGTGCTAATGGAGAGGGGCAGGGGAGGGGCAAACAAAGGTGCGGTGCGGTGCAGATGTCCAACGTCCTCCTTATCAACCAATGACGTCATTGGTTGTTAGGACACCAGTGGCCAGAAAGTTGTAATGGTGTACAATGAAAACCTGTGGCTTTGAGTAGCTAAAAGGCAGGCTTGATCCACTCGCTGGCTTGTATACAATTTTTGGGCAATTTTTAGACATTTTGTGAAGGCATCTTGGTTGAAAAAGGCTTCTATAGACAACAGATTCTTCTTTGGTTCCTTTACCCATCTCTGAGCTTAGGTGGAATCTGTTGGCCCTTCTGTCACATGACACAGCTGGCCTACATCCTGGTATTTATCTGCAGATTGGCATCCCCCTGCCTGGGCTCCACTATCTTCTCAGCTCCTCCAATTGCTCCTTAGTAAAGTCAGACAGGGGAGGTGCTGTTGCTTTTAGCAACCAATTAGAATATGCCAGAGAAATGACATTGGCAATGTGTTGGAATGTAGATCCATCTTCTCAGGTTTTCTGATTTTAGTAGTAATATTGTATGTCTGTCCCTTTTTAGAACGATTCTGTTCAGTGGTGATGGCGGATGTCTCTTCTGTGGAGGCCGCGATGCTCTTCGAGTCTATGGCTGGGAACCTGAGCGCTGCTTTGATACCGTCCCTGTGTCATGGGGCAAAGTCTCTGACCTGTCCCTCTGCAACAACCAGCTGGTAGGAAGCAGGGTTGGGGATAGAGACGGTGTCTGTGTGTTAATGGGGAGAGTGGGGGGAGGTAGTTTAGGAGAGGTTGTCTATGATGGCCAGGAGGGATTGTTCAGGAGTGGTTTGTGTGCTGGTCAGTGAGAGGCATTTTGGAGGGTGTGTGTGCTGGTGGTGGGGAACAGGGGTAGGGCAAGTCTCTGTGTGTTTGATAGTGGTGGGAGGGGGTCAAGGGCAGGTGTCTGTGTTCTGGTCAGGAAAGGGTGGGCACTGTATATGAGCTAGATGGGTAGAGTGAGTTTGGGGGGGGGGTGATTTGGTGTTCTATGTCCTGGTTGGTGATAGGGAGGGTATGTGCTGAAGGGGAATGGGGGGGAGGCTGTGTGCTAATTAGTGGTGTTGTACTGGTGTCACCATAGAGTGTTTTTTTTTGTTTTTGCAGATTGGTGTCTCTATTGCCCAGACAAATGTCTCCTCCTTTGTGGTAGACCTGAACCGTGTGAAACTAATTGGATCAGAGCCACAGGGGTCTCTTCCAACTGAGATCCCCATCAGTCAGCCGACACCCTCCGCATCCTCATTGAGGAGAATCTATGAGAGACCGTCTACCACCTGCAGCAAACCAAAGAGGTGAGAAAAGTGGCCCTAAATCTATATAATAAAACCCCTCCAAAACAGAGAAATAACACACTGCCCTGACATCAGAGACACCAAGACTCGAATCCCGTATGCAGGAGAGACATGTCCTTTATCTAAACATTTCTGTTGTAATCCCCATATTTATCTGATATCCACAGAGCGAGTCCGAGCAGTGATGAGGATGAGAAGGAGTCCAGTGCTGAGATCCAGAATCCAGAGGAGTTCAATGAAATCTTCCAACCGAAGAATGCAATCTGTGAGTCCAGGGATCTCCTGCCTGCAAACCCTTCTTTTGTCACCACTTTGCCCTCCTCTTGTCCCCCTCTGACACTGCCAGCTCTTCCTCTGCCCTTTTGTCTCCTTCCCCTCTGACCTTGCCAGCACTTCCTCTGCGACCACTTTACCCACCCTGCCCATCCTGCCCTTTTCTGACACCACTTTACCCACCCTGCCCTCTCCTTCCCCTCTGACCCTGCCAGTTTTTTCTCTGCCATCACTTTACCCTCCCTGCCATCTTCTCTACCTCTGTGCGTGCCAGACCCTTAACCTGTTACCAGTGTGTGCCCACTTACACAGCCCATCCTGCCCTCCTCTGCTGCTGCCATTTTACCTTTTCTGGCCACTTCTCCCCTTTTTTGCCTGTCAGGTATTTCCCCGTCTTCACTGTGTTCCTTGTACACTCCCCATCCTGCGCTCCTCTGTACCAACCTGTTTGCTGTCTATGTATGTATTTTCCCATCTCCATATTTTATTTTTCACATTTTTAGCACGGACTCCTCCACGTGACAGCGAGCCTTTCCCGGCCCCCCCAGAAGATGGTAAGAGGAAGTTGTGTGTTTACTGTGATGACCATAACGGCCTGTATTTAGGACCCCATTTCCTGTCTGCCCATTGTCACTGTCCATGTTGTGTTCTTTCAGAATGTGTCCCTGTGAAGGAGTCTGTCCCGCCAGCAGCAGAAGTTGTCACACCGGTCACCGCCATAAAGAAAAATGTAAGTCTATTTTGTGTTCTAAGAAAAAGATGAGATGTGCTGTGAAGATTTGGGTCTTGAAAGGCCTGGTGAACTTCTGGTGTATTTTTTTTTTTTTTATTGAAGTTTCTTTCTTTTCCATTGAGGAACACAAGAATTCATATATTATATACTGCTGAGTTATACTGCTGTCTACAGGAGATTTGGACACTGGAAACCGAAACATTGTGGCCATTCCATTATAACCACACCAATGCCTAGCGTGCCTCATTTTTTGCTAGTTTCCTTGGAGGTTGGATGCCTTTTTTTTCCTCTCTGCTGAAAAAAGTTTAATTATTTTTTTGTTAGCCTTCCTTGCTTTGTGGAATTTAGTCTTCAGTGACTTTAATCAAGTTTCTTTCCTGAGCTCATCTCTGTACAGCAGCTATTTAGATTACCATTTCCTCAGCCCTAGCTTTGGAGGCCGTACTTGAACCTTTGCTGGACTGAATGTTGGAAGGCTAGCTTGGATTGGGATCTTCGGGCACTGAGCCTGTGCAATATGGACACCTTTGTGTATGGTTAGCACTTTCCGAGTCCAGAGTCATGGCACAGTCCCAAGTGTGACCCTGTCTCTGAAGAATTGCTCAACAAGGCTGTATTGGCTGAAGCACTGGGAGGCTACCTCACTGTTCCACTGTTTAGCACCTATTGAAATAATGCACCACTGCTGGTTTTACTGCAGTTAAGGTTAAGGCTGAGGAAATGAGAATTGACATCATACGATCAGTAGAGTGCCACACGTTCTGCGCTCTTTCCAACTGTTTAGCCCAGAGAAAGCACCGCCGCCCTGCTGCTCCTATTCTTGAAGCACCACATGAATCTCTGGTTTGGTTCCTTTGAATGCCTACTTTGATTTGGTCTCCTCTGGCTACTTATCCCTCATCAGCACCAGCTGCCTGGGTCTATGAGTACCTGAGGCTATGCCACATACTGGGCCAGCATATTTTCGCAAGGACACGCAGAGGACAGTCCCACTGCCTTGGGTAACATCAGCTCATACTCTTCTAGTGGTTCTGGGTGTGTTTATTTGGTATCCCCAGAAGGAACCGATACCTGGAACTTGGGACCCTTTTTGTGATAGGGTTGTCATCAGAGTCTTCTTCAGCTCTGTCAGGAGAGGCCAAGGCCTCCCCTATGTCCACAGGGACTTCCATGTCCATTCTGGATTTTCTTGCTGCCTGTACTCAGTTACTTGGGAATTCTGCCCCCAAAGTCTGTAAATGTGCTCTGGTGCAATCCACTACAGACTCTGGGCACTTAAACCAGTCCAGGCTTGTGGACCACTGTCGCTCTCGACTGTTCTTAAGGCACCACATCCTCATACTGTTGTCTGAAATTTAGGAAGTGTGGGGGAAGTCCTTTGAGGGGTTGGAGGAATCCTATCCTTCTCCTTCATCTTTGCCACCAAGTACTTATCAGCTTTAAGAGCTTAATCCCCACTCATCCTTAGGGTTTGAAGACAGAGATCAGCTGACTCCTCTAATTAGACTTCTGTATGAAGGTGTGCTCCCACTTCTACAAGCGAGGTGCTGTTAGTACCTCTGGATGTGTCCTTGGGTAATTTTATTCAGGGCACCCCATGTGTCTGGCATCTCCTTCAGCTATCACTCACTAATATTCTATGGTAAGTGCACACAGTAGTGAATCTTTTCTGGTGTTCCCATTCGTTGGGCTTTAGTCTCTTTCTCTGGAACTGATGGTCAGTGCTTCTTCGAGAGATCCCACTGTAAGTTTGCTAACTGAGTTGGACTCTTTGATATCTCCTAGGGTGTTGCTGGGCCTTCAACTCTAGGAAGGTTTGAGAGTCCTCCCTGTGACTGGCCAAAACCCTAGTCCCTACACTGGATGACGTGGAGTTCTGTTTTCAACTGCATGGGTTACTTCGAGACAATTCATGGGCTTTTGACGCACCTCAGCCAGTGTCTCCTTACCAAAAGAAGAGGTTTTATTTTATGCATGGCAGACAGAAATCATCACTGGAGGGCTCTGCAGTCTTCTGGATTTTCAGTAGGAAGAACACACTGGAATCCTTAGGTTAGGTATTCCCTGTTGATGATACAGTGTGTTCAGAGACCTTTGTGTGACCTGATTATCTGGAGATGGTCCTTCTATGACAGAGTCTCCAAATCCTTCCTTGGTCATGCTCTTAATTAGGTGGATGTTCTTAGCTGTGTGGATAAGGTTTCTGTCGCTTGCTCTAGGACTATAGATACTTTCTTGTATAGGGCATGTCTGATAATTATTAGAACCGTGTTCTTTGCTCAAGGTTTGGCAGGTCCTGCAGAGTTCCTCTAGAAGACCCCAATGACACCTCCTGGTGTTGATGTGAATGTTTTTTTGCCCATCCTTTTTGTTTTCTTTTGGTGTTCTCTTGCATCAGGCTGGGGATGCAGTATACTTGTCTTCGTGTATTTTTTTTTTTTATTGTTTTCTGTTGACCACACAACATTTTTGGTCTATTTCTTGCTTGTCCGGTAGTTATGATGCTCCAACTGTTTTGGTGGGTTTTTTTTTTGGTTTCACAGCCTCTTGATAGTTCAGGATGTATGTTCTTTTGGTTGGTATCGTTCCCCTTGGCAGTTATCTCTTCTCTCCTGTCCTGGTCTAGAGTATCCTGTTTAATCCTCTATGGTCTTCCCTTGGTTGTTGGCAGTTTCTCCTGTCTGGCTGGGGGCTTCACCTCATCTGCTTCAGATTCAGGGTGTTGGTCTTTCAAGTAGTCCTGAGTTGCAAACAGTTCCCAGTCCTTTCTTATAGGCCTGTTGGTGGCTGTTGCCCACCTCTCAGTTGAACTGCTTTTGGCCCTCCCAGCTGTTTCTGAATTTGTGCGTCCCTTAATGAATGAAAAACAAAATAAGATCTTTGTACTCTCTGTAAAAACTTTTTCTTGGAGTCCATTTGAGGGGCACGGGTCCTCCCCTCTCCCTGTGTTTATGATCGTGCTCTCTACTGCTTTTCCACAAACCTGAGGCATGTTGGTGTCACAACCTCATGAAGGTGGCATTATAAACTGTTTCTGAATTCCTGTGACCCTCAATGTACTTTTGAGAAATAGATTTTGCTTTAAGTAAAAATATCTTTTCACCAGCTCAGTGTTTAGGGTGAAGAGTTCAGAAATCTGGAAATATTTGTTTTGGCCTTTTTTGTAGCATTTGTTGGTGTTCAGAATTATTTTTTTTCTATATGGTGAATAAAGTCTGCCTGTGAAATATGCGATCTTATGACGCGATGGTGTCACTGTGGAGAAAAGTGCTCACCATGACATTGCTCGTCCATGAACAGCACCTCATACACATCTTCACCTCTTTTAGTTCTAATGGATTTGTCTTGATATTGGATTATTTCCTTCCTGCAGCGTGAACAGCTGAACAGACCTCCTGTGGCATCTTCTACACCCACAGTGTACCCAGATCCCCCTGCTGCCCCTTCCACCCCCAGCCACCCCCCAGTCATCTCTGCTGCCAGAAAGGAGCCTATCGGGTTGAAGGTGGCTGACTTCCTTCCAGTAAGTGATGTTGATGGTATTTTATATTACCCAGACACTCCGCAACTGTTTGTCATCGTCCCCCTTCTTCCTCTGCAGGTGGTAAAGGGCTCATCTCCAACAGAAGTTGGGGATGAGGAAGCCATGGGTCAAATTCGGAAGGGGCATGACACAATGTGTATGGTGCTGACCAGCCGCATGCGCAACCTGGACACAGTGAGAGCGGTATGGAGCACTGGGGACATCAAGGTGAGAGAATCCTCCTGTGTGAGAAGGAAAGAGGGGCATCCAGGAAGAGGGAGACAGGGTTGGCCGAAGGGGGAGGGGATCAGAGAAGAAAGACGGAGGTCAGGAGAATGTTGATGGTGAGCAGGAGAAGGGAAGGGGCGTAGGGCTGTACCAATACCCTGCGCAGATAGGTAGGTATTTCAGGGGCCATAGGGCTATATCACTATCTACTGAAATTCAGGGGATACCTCCTTGGGACACAGAAATATCTCCCCATCTAAGTAGATCGTGGGACAACCCTGTGTCTCAAGGAGGTATCCCCTGAATTTCAGTAGATAGTGATACAGCCCTATGGCCCCTGAAATACCTCCCTATCTTTGCGGGGTAGTGGTACAGCCCTACATCCTTAGAAATATATCCCCATCTAAGTAGATAATGGTACAGCCCTACATCATTAGGGTTTCCCCATGATCTGGTAAGGTGGTGGTATATTCTTGGGGCTGTAGGACCATACAACTATCCAGTCAGTTGTGAAATATCCTTGGGTCACTCCATTATCTAATTATATGGGTGGGGGTATATCGGGTCAAACCACTGTTCAGTGAGAAGGGGGAAGAACTCTGGGGACCCATTCTTCAATTAGGTGATTCGATATCCCTTGGGATGTAGGATCACACCACAGGTGACTATCTCTAGAGACATCCGGTCATACTAATATCCATTGAGTTGGGAGAAATCTCTGGGAATATAGGGTCATACCATTATCCATTAAAATGGGGGATAGCTCTGGGGATATCAAGTCATACCACTATTCTGTGGGTTAGGGATATCTCTTGTGGAAACCTCAGGTCATCCCACTATCCAATGAGATGTGGGAAATCTATGGGGATGTAGGATCATACCACTATCCAGTTGAAGGGGGATTTATATAATACTGGTTTGATGTTTCTGCCCTGTAATTGATTGAACATCTGTGTCACAGACCTCCATGGACTCCGCTGTGGCAGTAAATGACTTATCGGTGGTTGTGGACATGTTAAATATCATCAACCAGAAAGCGTAAGTCTAAAAGTTGCGATTGAACATTTCCTGTCTCTACCTGGATTCTAACAACTGTCATTTACAGGTCGCTGTGGAAGCTGGATCTGTGTTTGACCATCCTCCCGCAGATAGACAAACTCCTACAGAGCAAATACGAAAGGTAAGTACCTGGGACTGCATTGGACACTGGCATTAAGTGATGGCTGCCCAGCTGTCAACTGCCAGGGGCCATCCTGCTTCATCTATCCTTCACCTCCAGGGGCATCCTACTCCTCTTTTTGGTCTGATTCCTCTTTGTGTCTTCTCAGCTATGTGCAGACCGGCTGCATTTCCCTGAAGTTGGTGCTGCAGAGGTTCCTCCCACTGATCACAGACATGCTGTCAGCTCCACCCTCAGTGGGTGTGGACATTTCTCGGGAGGAGAGGTAAGAGTTTATTCATTGAGCTTCTCATTGGGTTGAGCGAATGTTGCCTACTTTTAATTCATAGAAAGCCTTGTGCCTTTAGATATGCACACTGCCCCTCTACCCTACAAAGTGGCCGTCTGCCCTCCAGTAACCTGTTCTTTCCTCTTTCTGCAGACTGACAAAGTGTAAGATGTGCTACAAGCAGCTCCGGTGCCTCTCGTTATTGGTGAAGAGCCGAGCATCCCAGAGCGGCCGGTATGGAAGTGCATTTCGAGAGCTACACCTCCTAATGTCTGCATTGGAATAAGCTGGAATACCATGGGTGAATGCCCACAATTCTTTGCCGGTGCTGAACTGTCATGTGGAGGAACTATTTATTAATCAGTACTGTGGATATGCCAGTTATTGGGAGAGGGAATTTTACTTAGTATGGAAAGTCCTGAAATTGGCATGTGCGGTGTCCAGAGACCGCTGGTCGTCACCTGTTTTGTCCTTTCTAGAGACAATAAATCAAACTTCATATTTTATGTTACACGTGTGAGTATCGTGTTTAACGATTATACTGTCATCAGCCACGCCTCCTTCCACACATGTGACCTCGCTGAACAAAAAAACAGCAGCCATTTTAAGTATAAAATACTCTGTAATAAAGTATTAATTCTCTATAAATATATTAAAAGTAGAAATATAAAACAGGCAGCATTATCAGTTTATGTAGTTGTAGCGCAAGGTGCAACTGTCGTCTCCTCATTCTGGAGCTCCATCCTTTCCTCCATACCGGCTTCAGTTCAGGATTGTTCTAAGCTTCAGTGTGGCCCTTACGATGGCCCTATTCGGTGGCGCACTAAAAAAAAAAAAAAAAAAAAAAATGACCATTTCTGTTCTGGATCTTCATTTGGGTGGAAGGAGAAGGGAATAATAGGGAGAGACAGCACAAAACATGGTGGAACACAGGCAACCGATCAGAAATTTCCTTCATCTAACCAGCACCATCCTGATCAGATGCCCTGAGTTACTGCACACTATATTCACTTTTGTTGGCTTAGGCAGGACTGTTTTGAGCTGTGTCATGGTACTTAGCAGGTGAGGGACTGAGTTGAGCTGTATCCTGGCACTCAACTCAGAAGGGACTGGGCTGTGCCATGGGACAGAGAAACTGCTTTATTTGTGGCCATAAGGATATAAATTCTTCACAAGGGGAACATGGATGACAAACCCGGAGCCTCTGATCCATTTCCACCATGCCTGGCTGGAGTTCCACTTTAACAACACTATGCACAGATACCTGAGCTGGGAGCTTTTCTTCGTACAGATGTGTTCCTGACTCCACGTGGTGAGGGGGTGTCACTCTGTGAATGAAAACCAATTAGTCATTATAGATGCATCACTGGGACTTTAATTTTTCTACTATGTCTGCAAAGATTTTCATAGATCCAGATTATGGCTTATAGTAGCATTGGACATGGTATATGCAGTAGCCCTTGTCATGGTCTATTTAGTAGTGCTGGCCATGGTGTGTGTATGTATGTGTGTGTGTATATATATATATATATATATATATACAGTCAGGTCCATAAATATTGGGACATCGACACAATTCTAACATTTTTGGCTCTATACACCACCACAATGGATTTGAAATGAAACTAACAAGTTGTGCTTTAACTGCAGACTGTCAGCTTTAATTTGAGGGTATGTACATCCAAATCAGGTGAACGGTGTAGGAATTACAACAGTTTGCATATGTGCCTCCCATTTGTTAAGTGACCAAAAGTAATGGGACAATTGGCTTCTCAGCTGTTCCATGGCCAGGTGTGTGTTATTCCCTCATTATCCTAATTACAATGAGCAGATAAAAAGTCCAGAGTTCATTTCAAGTGTGCTATTTGCATTTGGAATCTGTTGCTGTCAACTCTCAAGATGAGATCCAAAGAGCTGTCACTATCAGTGAAGCAAGCCATCATTAGGCTGAAAAAACAAAACAAACCCATCAGAGAGATAGCAAAAACATTAGGCGTGGTCAAAACAACTGTTTGGAACATTCTTAAAAAGAAGGAATGCACCAGTGAGCTCAGCAACACCAAAAGACCTGGAAAACCACGGAAAACAACTGTGGTGGATGACAGAAGAATTCTTTCCCTGGTGAAGAAAACACCCTTCACAACAGTTGGCCAGATCAAAAACACTCTCCAGGAGGTAGGTGTATGTGTGCCAAAGTCAACAATCAAGAGAAGACTTCACCAGAGTGAATACAGAGGGTTCACCACAAGATGTAAACCATTGGTGAGCCTCAAAAACAGGAAGGCCAGATTAGAGTTTGCCAAACGACATCTAAAAAAGCCTTCCCAGTTGTGGAACAACATCCTATGGACAGATGAGACCAAGATCAACTTGTACCAGAGTGATGGGAAGAGAAGAGTATGGAGAAGGAAAGGAACTACTCATGATCCTAAGCATAACACCTCATCAGTGAAGCATGGTGGTGGTAGTGTCATGGCGTGGGCATGTATGGCTGCCAATGGAACTGCTTCTCTTGTATTTATTGATGATGTGACTGCTGACAAAAGCAGCAGGATGAATTCTGAAGTGTTTCAGGCAATATTATCTGCTCATATTCAGACAAATGCTTCAGAACTCATTGGACGCCGCTTCACAGTGCAGATGGACAATGACCCAAAGCATACTGCAAAAGCAACCAAAGAGTTTTTTAGGGAAAGAAGTGGAATGTTATGCAATGGCCAAGTCAATCACCTGACCTGAATCTGATTGAGCATGCATTTCACTTACTGAAGACAAAACTGAAGAGAAAAATGCCCCAAGAACAAGCAGGAACTGAAGACAGTTGCAGTAGAGGCCTGGCAGAGCATCACCAGGGATGAAACCCAGCGTCTGGTGATGTCTATGCGTTCCAGACTTCAGGCTGTAATTGACTGCAAAGGATTTGCAACCAAGTATTAAAAAATGAAAGTTTGATTTATGATTATTATTCTGTCCCATTACTTTTGGTCCCTTAACAAGTGGGAGGCACATATTCAAACTGTTGTAATTCCTACACCATTCACCTGATTTGGATGTAAATACCCTCAAGTTAAAGCTGACAGTCTGCAATTAAAGCACAACTTGTTCGTTTCATTTCAAATCCATTGAGGTGGTGTATAGAGCCAAAAATTTTAGAATTGTGTCAATGTCCCAATATTTATGGACCTGACTGTATATATATATATATTTATTACACAGTACTGTACAATAGTTTTAGGTGTGAAGATTTAAAGTAAGAATGCTTTTAAAAAATTTTTTTTTTTATTTACGTACAAAATGCAAAGTGAGTGAGCAGAAGAGGTCTTTGACTGCAAACCAGCATCAGTTTTTACACTTGCACAAAAGGCGGGGATTAGAGTTTTTTTTTTTTTTTTTTAAGGAATAGAATCCGGTTTATGAATAACCAGTTATGCCAAACAGGTGCTAATGATCATCAATTTCATATGTAGGTCGAAACAGTCATTAACTGAAACAGCTGTGTAGGAGGCTTAAAACTGGGTAAGGAATGGCCAGACTCTGCTACTAAGGTGAGGTTGTGGAAGACAGTTTCATGTCACAGGCCATATACCATAGCAAGACTACTGGCACAGCAACAAGACACAAGGTAGATATATTGCATCGGCAAGGTCTCTCCCAGGCAAAGATTTCAAAGTAGCCTGGTGTTTCAAGATGTGCTGTTTTAAGGTCTTTTGAAAAAGCACAAAGAAATGGGCAACTTGAGGACCGTAGAAACAGTGATCAGTTAAGGAAAACTTAATGCAGCAGATGAAGACACATTATTCTCACTTCCCATTGATATCAGAAGATATCAAGCAGTTGTATTGGCAAAGAACTGGCAGAAACCAGTGGGACTTATACACCCATCTACTGTCCAGAGAAGTCTGGCCAGAAGTGAGCTTCATGAAAAAAAAATTGCAATAAAAACCATATTTCCAACATGGGAACAAGGCTAAGCGACTCAACTATGCACAAAAATATTTGGACTGAGGAGTCGAAATTTGAAATATTTGCCTATAGCAGGAGCCAGTCTGTTCCCTGGAAAGCGGTACAATAATGAGTGTCTGCAGGCAACAGTGAAGCATGGTGGAGGTTCCTTGCCCATTTGTGGTTGCATTTATGCAACTGGAGTTGGCGATTTGGTCAGGATCAATGGAGTCCTCAATGCTGAGAAATACAGGCAGATACTTATCCATCATACCAACAGGAAGATGTGTGACTGGCCCAAAATGTATTCTGCAGCAGGGCTACGGCCAATGTCATTAAGCACTATCTTCAGTGTAAAGAACAAGGAGTTCTGGAAGTGATGGTTTGGCCCCCACAGAGCTCTGATCTCAACATCAAGTCTGTTTAGGATTTCATTGAGAGAAGGATTTGCGGCAGCCTACATCCACAGAAGATCTGTGGTTTGTTCTCCAAGATGTTTGAAACAACCTACCTGCAGAGTTCCTTCAAAAACTGTGCAAGTGTACCTAGAAAAATTGATGCAGTTTAAAAAGGGAAAAGGGTGGTTATGACAAATATTGATTTAATTTGGATTTCTCTTCTGTTCATTTACTTGCCATTTTTTGTTAAATGATACAAATAAACTATTAACATTTATTTCTGAAAGTATTCCTAATTTATAGCATTTTTCCCACCTTCCTAAAACATTTGCACAGTAGTGTGTGTGTGAGATTTATATATATATATATATATATATAAATATATTTAGTGACCACAGTTTATCTGCTATCTATAATCATGATGTATATCCAGTACCAGATGCTATGGTCTATCTAGTATCTGTGACCATGGTGTAAATCCAGTAGCAGTGGTCATGGTATATACAGCATCTATTATTTGTGGCCATGGTTTGTATCCAATAGCAATGACAACGGTCTATCTAGTAGCAGTGGCCACCTTTATCTGTACTTGTTCTCCTAATGTCTCAATATGGAGCTCTGTCCTTCATTTCGTCTGATCTGCTCTGAGGGTTTTCTCTTGTCCTTTTGGGTTGAGAGTTCAGACACACACTACCCAATGTGAACATTATCTCAAGCCTATAGGAGGCTCCAGCACTACTGGGTACTCTATGCAAAAATGGTCAGTCCTACCATAGGAGCATCAGCATGGCTCATATTTTCAGCTGTGAGTTTTGCTTTCCTTCTGCACCTTCTTTTCACTGGTTCTCCTACATCATAGTGTGTGTTGGTCATGAGTTGGTGAATCATCTGTGATAACACGGACCTGTAAAGTGGGCTGTTATGACTGCAATTACAGACTGAATACTGTGTGTGGCCCCTTTCATGTCATGGGCCACATTTGAGACTCCTATTTCTTGACCACCACTATATGTGTTGGCTAAATATTTTTACCTTTGAAGCAGCAGCTCTGCCTGTGCCGTGGTGTCTCCCTCCCCCCCCCACATTTAAGTGTGCAGTATGTAAAGTGTGTATAGTTCCTAATAAAACATGGTGCAGGATTCATAAGAGTGAGCTTAGCTTTCTGGAAGCCCATTATGTTCCATCAGCTGTAGGCTACCTTCCATACCTCTGATGTCTCTGTGCTGGAAGATGGTGGCTGTTCGATCTTCCTGCTGGGTGCTCCTAGTTCCACAGCTCGGACTCGGTCTCCAAAGCGGAGGGAGCAAAGCGACTCACTAATGTTCCTTTCAGCTGGGGACACCTGAGCAGCACAGAGGAGAGAAGGACCAAGTCATTAAGTTGTAAAGAAGAAGGTTGAGAGTGCCAAATATCTGATCAAAGTCCTGTAAGCCTTTATTGTATGTGATCTGAAGAGAAGGCAAATCTGACATCCTCCTTCATTAGGGCTGAAGAATAAGACAATGTACGAGAACATGCAATAAAAATGCTAATTTTCAAAAGTTCTATTATAGTGTATAAATACAGGATAAAGCACAATATACAATCATGTATTGTATATAATGCACCCAAAAATGAAGTTACACAGCAGCTGGGTCAGTGTATTTCCAACAATTCACAGATTATACAGATTTTGCGGCATTACTGTGCACGATTCTACAGTTCTTCTCCTCTGTCCTCAGAATCATCTCCAGGAAATGTTTTCCCATTGTTCATGAACCTTAAGCAGAGCTCCACCTGTAAATAGGTTATGCCTCTACCAACTCACATGGGTGGAGAGTTTGATGCTGCTACTCATGCCAAGTTGGGATAGAGAGCAAAGAGTACTCTAGCACTGCTAACTTACCTGTAAGAGGAGCAGAGCTTTGCCATCTCGGCTGAGCGGCTCTTGCAGTAAGTAGGTGAGCTTGGAGTTTCGATATGGAATGTGGGCCTGATTGGAGCGCAGCGCCGAGAATACGTCACCCAGAGCAGACAAAGAGCGGTTGATGCACTGGGCCTCCCGCAGGCGCTCCCCAGCAGCACCTGAACGCGATATACCCTCTCTGATCCAGCCAGATCCACCAGATAGAGCTTCCCTGGAGAAGGAGGTTCAAGACTCACCATCAGACAGTACTGTATGTAACCCATCATTTCTAGGGCTTTGGTATTATGCAAGGTCACCCACATCAGACCCATGCACAGTGCATCTACCAGGCTCTAAGTACCCAGCAGACCCACTTAGTGTGCAATCTACCAGGTTCTGCATATAAAAGAGAGAATCCCCACCAGACCAACCTAGAGTGTCACCTCTTGGCCTCTGCATATAAAAAAGAGGACTACCTCCAGACCAGCCTAGAGCTCATTCTACCAGACTCTGTTCATAGGAAAGGACTGCACACCAGACCCACTTACAGTGCCATCCCCTTGGCTCTGCCTATAAGAAAGCACTACCTACTAGACCCACCTACAGTGAAATCTACTGGGCTCTGCATATAGGAGAGGAATACCTGCCAGACCAGCCTAGAGTGCCATGTAGTGGGCTCCCCACCACACTTGCCTAGAGTGCCATCTACTGAACTCTGCATATAGGAGAGAAATACCTGCCATACTTGCCTACAGTGCCATGCACAGGGCTCTGCACATGAGAGGACTCCCTGCCAGACTCTCCTAGAATGCCATGTACTGGGTTTTGCATATAGGAGAGGAATATCTGCCAGACTTGCCTGAGTGCCATGTAGTAGGTTCTGCTTGTAAGAAAGGGCTCTCTGTTAGACCAACCTAGAGCTTTTTTAGAATACTCTACATGTAACAGAGGACACCCCTGCCAGACCAACACTGAGCGCCATGTACTGGGCTTTTTTGTATAAGGGAATTCCCCTCCAGACCCACCTAGAGCATCATGTACCAGGCTCTGCATATATGAGAGGACTCCCCTCCCTCCAGACTAACCTAGAGGTCAATCTACCATGTTCTGTGTATAGAAGATTCCCCTTCAGACCAACCTAGAGCTCCATCTACTGGGCTCTGCATATTTGAGAGGACACCCCTCCAGACCAAACTGTTGTACAGATGCCAGTGCTGGTCTCCCGGCCCCGTGCAGTCAGGATAAGGAGGGCATGGGAGCGGGAGCTGTGAGTGTTTAGGTTGGTATGTTCTGTGGCTCGTTGTTTGTGTCCGAACTCCAAGATCTGCAGTGAAAAGAGTAAAAAGCAGTAAGCAATCTGAGCACTGGGAGAATGGTCTCTGGGGGTTGTGAGATGAAATACCCCATAGGGTTCTAGATGGGCCTCTGGGTTTTGTAAGGTGAAGATGCTTCACGGAGATGGGTTTCTGGGGCTTGTGTGTTGAGATACCCCAACAAATAATCACAACTGATGGTGATAGCTGATTTTATGTATTAAGCTTGCCGCTCACCTTGTTGATGTCCTGTATGCCGCGTACACTCTGCTGCGTCAGACCCGGAACGTAGAGCTCACCGGCACTGCCAGGAGATATCTTTATATCTAAAGAGGCATTATTGCCCGCACCCAGCAGGTCCCTGTACCAGAGAAAGGAACTTAGATTATCTATAGGTCAACATCAACCTCCTGCCCCAGGTTAAGGCTCCAATTATCCGACACTCCAGATCATGGCTACTATCACCCCCCCAACTCAAGACCATGGCTGCCATCGCACCTCCCTTTCAAGCTACGACTCTTGTCACCCATGCCCACCTCAATGCAGGCCATGACTGCCATCAAACTCCAGGTTAGTACTTTTGAACCTCCCCACTTCCACTGCAGGCTCCCATGATACTCCAAATTTTGGCTTTATCTGTCACATGGTGTAGGAACTACTACTCTCATCATCTGCTTTTTCTATATACTGACAGCTATCATTTCAATTAAGCTGTGATCACTACACAGATCACTAACACCCATCATTCCTTGGTGTCTGCTCTCACCGCAGCGACTCGTTGTAGATCTCAGCCATGCTGACGCTTAGATGGTGCTCCCAGGAATCAGACCGCTTGCTGACCTCGGAGAGGAGAAGGCGCAGTGCCCGCTGGTTTATGCCTGGATTAGCAGAAGGACCCTAAAGGATAATAAGTACTGTATTAAAAGCCAACCTTCCTCTACAATCCTGCCATTCCTACCCACCTGACCTTGCTCTACAATCCCTCATTTGTGTCCCTCTACAATTCCTCCCACTTGCATCTTTCTGATCTTCCTCTACAATCCCCTTCACTCACACCTGTCTGACCTTCCTTTCCAAACCCCTCCACTTGCACACATCTGACCTTCCTCTACAATCCCTCCATTCCTACCTCTGACTTTCCTCTACAATACTCCTCACTCTCACCACCTTTTACAATCCTACCCCCACACATGATCCTTCCAACCTTCCTACACAGTCCCCAAACTCATGTGGCCTCCCCTACATACGCAATGTCCCCCAAACACCTAACACGCCTCTCAAACTTTTCCCTAAAATTACTCTACACAACCCCCCCCCTCCCTGACTTTCCTCTACAACCCCTACAAAGTCTCTTCAACTTTCCCTACAATCCCTCCCTCCACACACAGCCCCTCTGCCTTCCGCTACAATACCCTCCATATGTGGCCCCTCTGAACATCCACTATAATCCCTCCACATACAGCCTCTCCAGATACTCACCTCCATGCTGTAAGTTTTACCAGAACCCGTCTGACCGTATGCCAAAATACAGACACTGTAACCGTCCAAGCAGGATGTAATGAGTGGAGACACTTCTTTGAAAACCTAAATAAGAGAAAAAGGTCCAGTATATATACATACACATACATACATACATACATACATACATACAGATACACATATACACACACACTCCCCCCTCACTATTCCAGTAATGTGTGTATCCCGCGCTCTCCTCTCGCCTCCCCTTCCCCCCTCCCTGCACTTGTCTCTCCATCCCCAATGTCTCCCAGCCCCTCTCCTCCCCTTCCCAAGTGTCTCCCCACGCTCTCCTCTGCTCCCCTTCCCCGGTGTCTCCCCCCGCGCTCTCCTCTCTGCTCCCCTTCCCCGGTGTCTCCCCGCGCTCTCCTCTCTGCTCCCCTTCCCCGGTGTCTCCCCGCGCTCTCCTCTCTGCTCCCCTTCCCCGGTGTCTCCCCGCGCTCTCCTCTCTGCTCCCCTTCCCCGGTGTCTCCCCACGCTCTCCTCTCGCCTCCCCAGTGTCTCCCCGCACTTGCCTCCCCGCGCTCTCCTCTAGCCTCCCCTTCCCAACGTCTCCCCGCACTTGCCTCCCCTTCCCCAACGTCTCCCCGCACTTGACCCCTCCCCTTCCCCAACGTCTCCCCGCACTTGCCTCCCCTTCCCCAACGTCTCCCCGCACTGCCTCCCCACACGTCTCATCCCCTCCCCTCCCCTTCCCCAACGTCTCCCCGCACTTGCCTCCCTTCCCCAACGTCTCCCCCGCACTTGCCTCCCCTTCCCCCCCCCACGCCCCGTCCCCCGCACTTGCCTCCCCTTCCCCAACGTCTCCCCGCACTTGCCTCCCCTTCCCCAACGTCTCCCCGCACTTGCCTCCCCTTCCCCAACACGTCTCCCCGCACTTGCCTCCCCTTCCCCAACGTCTCCCCCACTCTGCCTCCCCTTTCCCCAACGTCTCCCCGCACTTGCCTCCCCTTCCCCATAAACGTCTCCCCCGCACGCCCCTTGCCTCCCCTTCCCCAACGTCTCCCCTCTTGCCTCCCCTTCCCCCACGTCTCCGCTCTCCCCCACTTGCCCCCCTCAGCCTCTTCACCCAACGTTCCCCGCACTTGCCTCCCCTTCCCAAAACGACGTCTCCCCGCACTTGCCTCCCCTTCCCAAAACGTCTCCCGCACTTGCCTCCCCTTCCCAAAACGTCTCCCCGCTCTTGCCTCCCCTTCCCAAAACGTCTCCCCGCACTTGCCTCCCCTTCCCAAAAGTCTCCCGCACTTGCCTCCCCTTCCCAAAACGTCTCCCCCGCACTTGCCTCCCCTTCCCAAAACGTCTCCCCGCACTTGCCTCCCCTTCCCAAAACGTCTCCCCGCACTTGCCTTCCCAAACGTCCTCCCCGCACGTTCGCCCCCGGCCCTCCCCCTTCCCAAACGTCTCCCCGCACTTGCCTCGCCTTCCCAAACGTCTCCCCGCACTTGCCTCGCCTTCCCCAAACATCTCCCCGCTTTGCCTTCCCAAACGTCTCCCCGCACTTGCCTCACCCCCAAACGTCTCCCCGCACCCCCCTTCCCAAACGTCTCCCCGCACTTGCCTCCCCTTCCCAAACGTCTCCCCGCACTTGCCTCCCCTTCCCCAAAACGTCTCCCCCACTTGCCTCCCCTTCCCAAAACGTCTCCCCGCACTTGCCTCCCCCTTCCCAAAACGTCTCCCCGCACTTGCCTCCCCTTCCCAAAACGTCTCCCCGCACTTGCCTTCCCAAACGTCTCCCCGCACTTGCCTCCCCTTCCCAAACGTCTCCCCGCACTTGCCTCGCCTTCCCAAACGTCTCCCCGCACTTGCCTCGCCTTCCCAAACATCTCCCCCGCACTTGCCTTCCCAAACGTCTCCCCGCACTTGCCTTCCCAAACGTCTCCCCGCACTTGCCTTCCCAAACGTCTCCCCGCACTTGCCTCCCCTTCCCAAAACGTCCTCCCCCACACTTTGCCTTCCCAAACGTCTCCCCGCACTTGCCTCCCCTTCCCAAACGTCTCCCCCGCACTTGCCTCCCCTTCCCAAACGTCTCCCCGCACTTGCCTCGCCTTCCCAAACGTCTCCCCGCACTTGCCTTCCCAAACCGTCTCCCCGCACTTGCCTTCCCCCAAACGTCTCCCCGCACTTGCCTGCCTTCCCAAACGTCTCCCCGCACTTGCCTTCCCAAACGTCTCCCCGCACTTGCCTTCCCAAACGTCTCCCCGCACTTGCCTCCCCTTCCCAAACGTCTCCCCGCACTTGCCTCCCCTTCCCAAACGTCTCCCCGCACTTGCCTCCCCTTCCCCAAAACGTCTCCCCGCACTTGCCTCCCCTTCCAAAACGTCGTCTCCCCGCACTTGCCTCCCCTTCCCAAAACGTCTCCCCGCACTTGCCTTCCAAACGTCTCCCCGCACTTGCCTCCCCTTCCCAAACGTCTCCCCGCACTTGCCTCCCCTTCCCAAAACGTCTCCCCCCCGCACTTGCCCTTCCCAAACGTCTCCCCCGCACATTGCCTTCCCAAACGTCTCCCCGCACTTGCCTTCCCAAACGTCTCCCCGCACTTGCCTTCCCAAACGTCTCCCCCACTTGCCTTCCCAAACGTCTCCCCGCACTTGCCTTCCCAAACGTCTCCCCGCACTTGCCTCCCCTTCCCAAACGTCTCCCCGCACTTGCCTCCCCTTCCCCAAACGTCTCCCCGCACTTGCCCCCCTTCCCAAAACGTCTCCCCGCACTTGCCTCCCCTTCCCAAACGTCTCTCCCCGCACTTGCCTCGCCTTCCCAAACGTCTCCCCGCACTTGCCTCGCCTTCCCCAACGTCTCCCCGCACTTGCCTTCCCAAACGTCTCCCCGCACTTGCCTTCCCAAACGTCTCCCCGCACTTGCCTTCCCAAACGTCTCCCCGCACTTGCCTTCCCAAACGTCTCCCCGCACTTGCCTTCCCCAAACGTCTCCCCGCACTTGCCTCCCCTTCCCCAAAACGTCTCCCCGCACTTGCCTCCCCTTCCCAAAACGTCTCCCCGCACTTGCCTCCCCTTCCCAAAACGTCTCCCCGCACTTGCCTCCCCTTCCAAAAACGTCTCCCCGCACTTGCCTCCCCTTCCCAAAACGTCTCCCCGCACTTGCCTCCCCTTCCCAAAACGTCTCCCCGCACTTGCCTCCCCTTCCCAAAACGTCTCCCCGCACTTGCCTTCCCAAATGTCTCCCCGCACTTGCCTCCCGTTCCCCAGTGTCTCCCTGCACTTGCTTCCCCTTCTCCAGATGTCTCCCCACGCTCTCCTCTCACCTCCTCCTGGGTGGCACTTGGTGTAAATACTTTGTCCATCTCAAAGCTCATAGATTTCCCCTTATGTGTCACATGGAGGATCCCATCATCATCTGGGTCAAAGGTAACCACATTCTGTGCACATGGGCCCGTACCATCCTCATCTGTTATTGGCCGAACACGAGCGAGGACTCGAATGTTTCCTGTGATAAGGGGTTATGCAGCCACAGTTGAGCGATATATTGTTGGGGGAATATTTTTTGTTGATCTCACAGAGAACATTAGGAAGAATACTTTAAGGTTTGGGGAGGCATGTGAGGGAAGAGTCTGTCCTCTGGACGGGGAGTCTGTCCCCTGACTCATCCAGATGTGAGCGATTATGATCATTTAGCAGCGCAGCTAATGATAACCTAGTAAAGTTAAATCAGAAGTCATAGCTCATATTTTCACTTTTTTTTTAACAACCAAATTTCCTGTATTGAAAACGAATGGCAGTGATACAAGGTACAGTTGCAAGACAAAGTATGTGAACCCCTTGGGATTATGTGGAGTTTTGCATGAATTTGGCATAAAATGTGCTCTGAAACGTCATCTAAGTCACAACAATAGAAGAACACAGTCTGCTGAACATAATACTACACAAACATTAGATGTTGCCATGGTTTAATTGCACACAACATGTAAACATTCACAGTGCAGGGAGGAAAAAGTATGTGAGGCCCTAGCTTAATGACTTTTCCCAGAGCTAATTGGAGCCAGGAGTGAGCCAACCTTGACTCCAATCAGTGTGATGAATTGGATGTGTTGCTGACAGCTGTCCTGCCCTTAAAAAACACACACCTGTTTTGGGTTTACTAGTTTCAAGAAGCACTGTCTGATGTGAACCATGCCTCGCAGAAAAGAGCTCTCAGAAGACCTACCATCAAGAATTGTTGAGTTGCATGAAGCTGGAAAGGGTTACAAAAGTATCTCCAAAAGGCTTGATGTTCATGTGTCCACGGTAAGACAGACTGTCTACAAATGGAGAAAGTTTAGCACTGTTTGCTACTCTCCCTAGGCGTTGTCGTCCTGTAAAAATGACTGCAAGAGCACAGCGCAGAATGCTGCATGAGGTAAAGAAGAATCCCAGAGTGTCAGCTAAAGACCTACAGAAATCTCTGGCACATGCTAACATTTTTGTTGACACATCTACAATAAGGAAAACATTAAACAAGAATGGAGTACATGGGAGGACAACACGGAGGAAGCCATTGCTGTCCAAAAAGAATATTGCAGCACGTTTGAAGTTTGCAAAAGAGCACCTGGATGTTCCACAGCACTACTGGCAGAATATACTGTGGACAGATGAAACCAAGATTGAGTTGTTTGGGAAGAACACACAACACTATGTGTGGAGAAAAAAAGGCACAGCACACCAACATCAAAACCTCATCCCCACTGTGAAACATGGCGGAGGGAGCATCATGGTTTGGGGCTGCTTTGCTGCCTCAGGGCCGGACGGATTGTTGTCATTGATGGGGAAAATGAATTCCAGAGTTTATCAAGACATTTTGCAGGAAAACGTATGACCATCTGTCCGCCAACTGAAGCTCCGCAGAGGATGGGTGAAACAATGACCCAAAGCATACAAGTCATTCAACAAAAACAATGGCTGCAACAGCACAGAATACGCCTTCTGGAGTGGCTCAGTCAGAGTCCTGACCTCAACCCGATTGAAATGCTGTGGCATGACCTTAAGAGAGAGCGATTCACACCAGACATCCCAAGAATATTGCTACACTGAAACAGTTTTGTGAAGAGGAGTGGTCCAAAATGACTCCAGATCATTGTGCAGGTCTGATCTGCAACTACAGGAAACGTTTGGTTGAGGTTATTGCTGCCAAAGGAGGGTCAACCAGTTATTAAGTCCAAAGGTTCACATACTTTTTCCTCCCTGCACTGTGAATGTTTACATGTTATGTGCAATTAAACCATGGCAACATCTAATGTTTGTGTAGTATTATGTTCAGCAGACTGTGTTCTTCTATTGCTGTGACTTAGATGACGTTCAGAGCACATTTTATGCCCAATTCATGCAAAAAACCCACGTAATCCCAAGGGATTCACATACTTTTTCTTGCAACTGTACATAGCCATTTGGAAGACTGAAACAGACAGGTGGTGCACCTAGAATCACATACAGGTGGCCTAATACAACACAGCATAAGAACAGAGGATTATATGTGCAGAGTACAGTATCAGTCCCCATGCATCCCAGAATACACAGCGAGAAGGGATCACAGCCATGCCCGGACCTGTACCAGGGTGGAGTACCTACAAGAGGAGCTCATTCATTGGTCCCAGCCACGGCTGCCATACCCCAACAAATTTCAGTGGGCAATTCCTAATAATGTATGTCAATTTGTACATAGGAAGATCATTAACAGCTTTTCCCCAGGAGTCTAATTTTCAAATTTTTTATTTCTAAAACATGAGAAAAAAAAGGGCTTTTTAAATAATCATAAAATACATTTGTGTGTAATTATATATATATATAAATAAATAAAATGAATTAATTTAGGGTGATGACACACTTCACTCACCTCGTAGACGCACCAGCTGGTTGTGACACTCCTTGCGCAAGTGAAGTTCCCTTCTGTATTTAGATAGCAGTTCGGTGTTTGCATCCTGAACGCCTTTTATGCCCTTGGAAAACTGAAAGACATGTTGTTATATATGGACCCTGTACCCAGGAGCGCCAACACCCCCTCCCCAAACCCTTGTACCCGGGAGTTCCAACACCCCCCCCCCTCCCTGTACCCAGGAGCGCCAACACCCCCTCCCCAAACCCTTGTACCCGGGAGCTCCAAAACTCCCTCCCTTCAACTCTGTACCTGGGAATTACAACCCCCCCCCCCCACACCCATCCCTGAACTCAGGAGTTACAACACCCCCTCTCCCACCCCTGTACCCGGGAGTTCCAACACCCCCTCTCCCACACCTGTACCCGGGAGTTCCAACACCCCCCTCTCTGTACCCGGGAGTTCCAACAGCCCCCCCCCCCCACACACACCTCTACCCGGGAGTTCCAACACCCCCTCTCCCACCCCAGTACTCGGGAGTTCCAACACCCCCTCTCCCACCCTGTACCCGGAGTTCCAACACCCCCTCTCCCACACCTGTACCCGGGAGTTCCAACACCCCCTCTCCCACACCTGTACCCGGGAGTTCCAACACCCCCCCCCCACACACACACACACACACACCTCTACCCGGGGAGTTCCAACACCCCCTCTCCCACCCCAGTACCCGGGGAGTTCTAACATCCCCTCTCCCACCCCTGTACCCGGGAGTTCCAACACCCCCTCTCCCCACCCTGTACCCAGGAGTTACAACACCCCCACTCGTACGCGGGAGCTTCAACACCCGCTATCTCACCCCTGTACCTGGGTGCTCACACACTGCCCCATTGGAAGATGAATCCTATATATGGCCCTTGTACCCGAGAGCTCCCACACCCCTCCACTAAAAGATGTTTTGTCGTCATTTACGGCTCCTGTACGTGGGAGCTCCCACAGCCCTTCCTCCAGCCCTGTATCTGGGCTCCCCCCCACTAAAAGACGCCTCGTCATGTACAGTCCATGTACCCGGGAGTACTATAATCCCCTCCCCCACCTCAGGCTCATTTACTCACCTCATCGCGGGTCTCTCTCATGGCTTGGTTCAGCAGGCCAGGAAAGTCTCGCACTTGTCTCTTTAGACCGTTGTAGTCCTGGGTGAGAGTGCGCAGAGCTGGCTGCAGCACAAGGAGATTCTTGCGCACACCTGCAAGTTGGGAGACAAGAGGGGGAAGATAGGAGTCAGTCACAGGATGGGTGGTAGACATACAGTGGGAGAACAGGTGATCTTGCTCATTGGTGGAAAGGGTGAATGGTGAGGACACGGGCCGTTATTTGTACTGCCGATAAGCCAAAAGGATCGAATATCCTGACTATGATCAGCAGAGGTTGTCAGTAGATCCCAAAATATGGGCAGCTGAAGTTATATGCAGATCCTCATTTTCCTGAAAATTATGAGCTCGGCCCCTCCCACCTACAGGTAGGTGAATCAGACAAGCCAATCCAACGACCAATAGGAATACATGAGAACTGGAAAAGAGTGGGCCAAAAAAAAAAAAAAAAAAAAAAAACACATCTACAGGAAAGTCCAGATCTGCCTATAACTTCAGCTGCCTGAAATCTGTTGCTGATTGGTTGGCAGACCTCTGCTGATTGTTTTTTTTTTTCATCACACAACAGGTTTGGATTGCGCGGGCCTTGGATATTCAGAAAGGAAAGAGCTGTGGAAGGAAATGGAGGAGACTTTCAGGAAATAGTGGCTGCACTCTCCCCCCCCCTTCCCTGCCTGATGAGTGTCATCAATATAATTGGACAAAACAGTTCATTCAAAATCTTTTTGAACTCCGCTCTGCGCAGGCCAAGTCACTTTCAGTGAACACTACCTAATGGTGGAGCATGCGGGCCCTCAACTGCGCACATACAGGCTATAAAGTCTCCAACAATCAGATGACAGGAAAGTATCCCCCCACCCCCGTCACTGAGTGGAGGACGTCATAGATGCTCCAGGTTCATCAGATAATCAGCTGGCAGGAAAAACTCCCATCCCCCAATCAGCCTAGTGTTCACAGGGCGAGGCATCCATAACTTCCAAAGCTCGTTGCTGTTCCCGCAGATGTCGGATTGGTTGTGATCGGCACCCTAGACATTTTCCAGAAATTGAAAAAATGTCCCATAATGCAAGTGGCCATGGCAGAGCCCAGAGAGCCTCAAGCATCCCTGTGCAGACTTACCATCCAGGCTGTGGTGTACGGCTCTCATTTCCACTTGGGCTTGGTCATAAGCCTCCGCCACAGCCAGCGCCTTCTCCTCCTGGAGAACCTGGAACTCCTGTACCATGTCTGCCTGGACCCGCTCCAACTCTGCCGCATACAGCGCCACCTGAAGAAGAGAAAGTGTCAATACAGGGGATCCAACACCACCTGCAGGAAAGCGCGTCAGTACAGGGGACACAGCGCCTCCTGCAGGAGAGCGCGTCAGTACAGGGGACACAGCGCCTCCTGCAGGAGAGCGCGTCAGTACAGGGGACACAGCGCCTCCTGCAAGAGAGCGTCAGTACAGGGGACACAGCGCCTCCTGCAGGAGAGCGTCAGTACAGGGGACACAGCGCCTCCTGCAGGAGAGCGTCAGTACAGGGGACACAGCGCCTCCTGCAGGAGAGCGTCAGTACAGGGGACACAGCGCCTCCTGCAGGAGAGCGTCAGTACAGGGGACACAGCGCCTCCTGCAGGAGAGCGTCAGTACAGGGGACACAGCGCCTCCTGCAGGAGAGCGTCAGTACAGGGGACACAGCGCCTCCTGCAGGAGAGCGTCAGTACAGGGGACACAGCGCCTCCTGCAGGAGAGCGTCAGTACAGGGGACACAGCGCCTCCTGCAGGAGAGCGTCAGTACAGGGGACACAGCGCCTCCTGCAGGAGAGCGTCAGTACAGGGGACACAGCGCCTCCTGCAGGAGAGCGTCAGTACAGGGGACACAGCGCCTCCTGCAGGAGAGCGCGTCAGTACAGGGGACACAGCGCCTCCTGCAGGAGAGCGTCAGTACAGGGGACACAGCGCCTCCTGCAGGAGAGCGTCAGTACAGGGGACACAGCGCCTCCTGCAGGAGAGCGTCAGTACAGGGGACACAGCGCCTCCTGCAGGAGAGCGCGTCAGTACAGGGGACACAGCGCCTCCTGCAGGAGAGCGTCAGTACAGGGGACACAGCGCCTCCTGCAGGAGAGCGTCAGTACAGGGGACACAGCGCCTCCTGCAGGAGAGCGTCAGTACAGGGGACACAGCGCCTCCTGCAGGAGAGCGCGTCAGTACAGGGGACACAGCGCCTCCTGCAGGAGAGCGTCAGTACAGACACAGCGCCTCCTGCAGGAGTAGCGTCAGTACAGGGGACACAGCGCCTCCTGCAGGAGAGCTCCTACAGGGGACACAGCGCCTCCTGCAGGAGAGCGTCAGTACAGGGGACACAGCGCCTCCTGCAGGAGAGCGCGTCAGTACAGGGGACACAGCGCCTCCTGCAGGAGAGCGCGTCAGTACAGGGGACACAGCGCCTCCTGCAGGAGAGCGCGTCAGTACAGGGGACACAGCGCCTCCTGCAGGAGAGCGCAGTACAGTACAGGGGACACAGCGCCTCCTGCAGGAGAGCGCGTCAGTACAGGGGACACAGCGCCTCCTGCAGGAGAGCGCGTCAGTACAGGGGACACAGCACAGTACAGGGGACACAGCGCCTCCTGCAGGAGAGCTTCAGTACAGGGGATACAGCACCACCTGCAGAAGAGAGAGTGCCAGTGCTGGGGACACAGCGCCAACTACAGGAAATGGAGTGTCAGTACAGAGGACAGAGCACTGCCTGCAGGAAATAGTGTCAGTACAGGGGACATGGTGCCATCTGCAGGAACTACAGCACCATCTGCATAGCACAGGAGTTAGGAGGGTGTCAGTGCCACATGTTCAGTGATTGGTCATGCTGATCACTAAACACACGATTGTTACCTGCGCTCGCAGTTTGGCCGCCTCTTGCTGTTCGTGTTGCAGTTGTTTCTTCATCTCATGCAATGTCCGGTTATGTCTGTCCAGCTGCTCCTGGAGGTACAATGTCTGCTCCTCCGCCTGGCTGAGCGCAGCCTTCATTTCCCCCGACTCCACCTCCACCGTCTGTACCACATACTGCAGAGACACAGGGGGGACACGTGAGCTGGGGGGCCCATACATAAAATGCGGGGCAAGGGCCCCTGATTTGAGGCTGCTTTATTCCGCGATCTGCCATCATTCTGTCCATCTACCTTTATCTGGGGCTGTTGCTGGTATTCTCGCAGCCTGCGATTTAGGCGTTCCTCCTCCTCCACCCTCTCACGTACTGAGTCCCTCACTCGAAGCTCCACCTCGGTCAATCGCTCCGCCTTCTGCTGGACCTCCCTCTGCAGAGTGCAGATCAGCGCCTTGCGCTCGCTCTCCTCCTGCTCCATTCGCTGCAGACGTTCCTCCAGAGCCACGACTTCCTGGAATGTCAAATATACAACCAATGAGTCATTATCTCCTGAACCACAGCGGATCCACCAGGCTGTCTGCCAAAGATATACACACCCCTCTGCACAGATCAAGGTTTTATACAGAAAACAAAAAAGGTATTATTTCCAGGGTTCCCCATCATTATGGCCAACATCCACATTTCCAGTGTTCCCTACCAGCACCATCAGTGTTCCCACCAGCACCATCAGTGTTCCCTACCAGCACCATCAGTGTTCCCTACCAGCACCATCAGTGTTCCCTACCAGGAGTTACAACATCCCCCTCTCACACCCCTGTACCTGGGAGTTACAACACCCCCTCCCCAAACCCTTGTACCGGGAGCTCCAAAACTCCCTCCCTTCAACTCTGTACCCGGGAGTTACAACCCCCCACACCCATCCCTAAATTCAGGAGTTACAACACCCCTTCTCCCACCCCTGTACCCAGGAGTTCCAACACCCCCCCTCCCTGTACCGGGGAGTTCCAACACCCCCCCCTCCCTGTACCGGGGAGTTACAACACCCCCCCCCCTCCCTGTACCCAGGAGTTCCAACACCCCCCCCTCCCTGTACCGGGGGGAGTTACAACACCCCCCCTCCCTGTACCCTGGGGAGTTACAACCCCCCCCTCCTGTGTACCCGGGAGTTACAACACCCCCCCAGCCCTTCGGGTGTTACAACACCCCCCCCCCCCCATCCCTGTACCGGGTGTTACAACACCCCCCCCCTCCCTGTACCGGGAGTTACAACACCCCCCCCCCTCCCTGTACCCGGGAGTTACCCCCCCCCCTCCCACAACCTCTACCCGGGGAGTTACAACTACCAGCCTCAGTGTTCCCTACCAGCATCTTCAGTGTTCCCTACCAGCATCTTCAGTGTTCCCTACCAGCATCATCAGTGTTCCCTACCAGCATCATCAGTGTTCCCTACCAGCATCTTCAGTGTTCCCTACCAGCATCTTCAGTGTTCCCTACCAGCATCTTCAGTGTTCCCTACCAGCATCTTCAGTGTTCCCTACCAGCATCTTCAGTGTTCCCTACCAGCATCTTCAGTGTTCCCTACCAGCATCTTCAGTGTTCCCTACCAGCATCTTCAGTGTTCCCTACCAGCATCTTCAGTGTTCCCTACCAGCATCTTCAGTGTTCCCTACCAGCATCTTCAGTGTTCCCTACCAGCATCTTCAGTGTTCCCTACCAGCATCTTCAGTGTTCCCTACCATTAGAACCAGTGTTTGTATTTCCAGTGTCCCCTACTGTTATGAGTAGTTTCCCTTCCGGTATTACCAGTTTTACCAACCAGTATAACCAGTACTCTGTCAGTATGATCAGGGTTCTCTCTCACCTGAGTGAAATCAGTTTCTAGCTCTGAATGGACAGACTTTTATTTTCTGGGATTCTTGCATGATGTGCGATAAGGTCCCTTTCACACGGTCGTTCCATATGTCCGTTTCCGGATGATAACCGGATACCCATGTATTTCTATGGACTAGCGGATGGAAACGGATGATCATCTGTTTACATCCGTTAATGTCCGCATCCTTTTTTTTTGAACGGAAGAAAACCTTATTTTTACTTCCGTAAAAAAAAACAAAAACTGGAAACGGATGTAAACGGATGAAAAACGGACGTAAAACAGATGTAAATGGACATACAGTCCCTTTTTGCAAGGATGTACAAAAAATATGGATGTGAACTGATCTGTTTTTGTTCTTGGAAAAAACCTGACTGAACTGATGAAAAAAAAATGGAACGCCCGTGTGAAAGGGCCCTAAGGGCTCATTCACAAGGGCATTCCGCATGTCCGTTTACAGATGAAAACTGGACACCCATGTATCTCTATGGACAAGTGAATGTAAACAGATAATCATCTGTTTACATCCGTTTTTTTTGAATGGAAGAAAACCTTATTTTTCTTCTGTAAGAAAAAAAAAAAAAACTGGAACGGACAAAAAAAACAAAAACACACAGATCTAAACGGATGAAAATGGACATACAGTCCTTTTTGCATTAGTAAAGGATGTAAACAAATGGATGCGTACTGATGTGAACTGATCTGTTTTTTTTTTCTTGGAAAAAACATGACTGAACTGATGAAAAAAAAAAACAAAACATCCGTGTGAAAGGGCCCTAAGGGCTCTTGTACAAGGGCGTTTCGTATATCCGTTTACAGATGAAAAACTGACCCCCATGTATTTCTATGGACTAGCAGATGTAAACGGACGATCATCTGTTTACATCAGTTTTTTTTGAATAGAAGAAAACCTTATTTTTCTTCCGTAAAAAACCTGGAACGGATGAAAAACAGACGTAAACAGAGAAAATGGACATACAGTCCCTTTTTGCATTAGTAAAGGATGTAAAAAAAACACGGATGTGAACTGATCTATTTTTTTTCTTGGAAAAAACCTGACTGAACTGATGAAAAAAAAACGGAACGCCCGTGTGAAAGGACCCTAAGGACGCTTTCACAAGGTCGTGCCATATGTCCGTTTACAGATGAAAACCAGACACCCATGTATTTCTATGGACTAGCGGATGTAAACGGATAATCATCTGTTTACATCCGTTAACGTCCACATCCATTAATATCCGTTTTTTTTTGAACGGAAGAAAACCCAATTTTCTTCCATAACAAAAAATGGAAACGGACAAAAAAAAAACAGACGCAGGAACTGATGTAAACTGATCTGTTTTTTCTTGAAAAAAAAAAACGTGACTGAACGGATGAAAACAAAACAGAAAGCTCGAGTGAAAAGGACCCTAAGGCAGAAATATCTGCACACACCTGTTTTCTGCATTTTGCGGTGGCTGTGTCTTACTGCTCCTCCTTACAATGCAAGTCTATATGTTGGCCGTGCCTGACAATGACACCGGCACATACACACTACTGGACCGTGCACAAACAGCGCCCTATACTGGACCATCCACACGCAGAGCACCCTCTACTGGACCGTGCACAAACAGCGCCCTATACTGGACCATCCACACACAGAGCACCCTCTACTGGACCGTGCACAAACAGCGCCCTATACTGGACCATCCACACACAGAGCACCCTCTACTGGACCGTGCACAAACAGCGCCCTATACTGGACCATCCACACGCAGAGCACCCTCTACTGGACCGTGCACAAACAGCGCCCTATACTGGACCATCCACACACAGAGCACCCTCTACTGGACCGTGCACAAACAGCGCCCTATACTGGACCATCCACACACAGAGCACCCTCTACTGGACCGTGCACAAACAGCACCCCATACTGGACCATCCACACGCAGTGTGCCCTCTTCTGGACCATCCACAAACAGCACCCTCTACTGGACCATCCACAAACAGCACCCTCTACTGGACCATCCACAAACAGCACCCTCTACTGGACCATCCACATTCAGAGTGCCCTCTACTAGACCATCCACATTCAGAATCCCCTCTACTAGACCATCCACATTCAGAGTGTCCTTTACTAGACCATCCACATTCAGAGTGTCCTCTACTAGACCATCCACATTCAGAGTGTCCTCTACTAGACCATCCACATTCAGAGTGTCCTCTACTAGACCATCCACATTCAGAGTGTCCTCTACTAGACCATCCACATTCAGAGTGTCCTCTACTAGACCATCCACATTCAGAGTGTCCTCTACTAGACCATCCACATTCAGAGTGTCCTCTACTAGACCATCCACATTCAGAGTGTCCTCTACTAGACCATCCACATTCAGAGTGTCCTCTACTAGACCATCCACATTCAGAGTGTCCTCTACTAGACCATCCACATTCAGAGTGCCCTCTACTAGACCATCCACATTCAGAGTGCCCTCTACTAGACCATCCACATTCAGAGTGCCCTCTACTAGACCATCCACATTCAGAGTGCCCTCTACTAGACCATCCACATTCAGAATGCCCTCTACTAGACCATCCACATTCAGAGTGTCCTCTACTAGACCATCCACATTCAGAGTGTCCTCTACTAGACCATCCACATTCAGAGTGTCCTCTACTAGACCATCCACATTCAGAGTGCCCTCTACATTCAGAGTGCCCTCTACATTCAGAGTGCCTCTACTAGACCATCCACATTCAGAATGCCATCTACTAGACCATCCACATTCAGAGTGCCCTCTACTAGACCATCCACATTCAGAGTGCCCTCTACTAGACCATCCACATTCAGAGTGCCCTCTACTAGACCATCCACATTCAGAGTGCCCTCTACTAGACAACCATCCACATTCAGAGTGTCCTCTACTAGACCATCCACATTCAGAGTGCCCTCTACTAGACCATAAACATTCAGAGTGCCCTCTACTAGACCATAAACATTCAGAGTGCCCTCTACTAGACCATCCACATTCAGAGTGCCCTCTTCTGGACCATCCCCCCTACTAGATCATCCATATTCAGAATGCCCTCTACTAGACCATCCACATTCAGAGTGCCCTCTACCACACCATCCCCTCTACTAGACCATCCACATTCAGAGTGCCCTGTACTAGACCATCCCCTCTACTAGACCATCCACATTCAGAGTGCCCTCTACTAGACCATCCACATTCAGAGTGCCCTCTACCACACCATCCCCTCTACTAGACCATCCACATTCAGAGTGCCCTCTACTAGACCATCCCCTCTACTAGACCATCCACATTCAGAGTGCCCTCTACTAGACCATCCACATTCAGAGTGTCCTCTACTAGACCATCCACATTCAGAGTGTCCTCTACTAGACCATCCACATTCAGAGTGTCCTCTACTAGACCATCCACATTCAGAGTGCCCTGTACTAGACCATCAGTGCCCTCTACATTCAGAGTGCCCTACTCTACATTCAGAGTGCCTCTACTAGACCATCCACATTCAGAATGCCCTCTACTAGACCATCCACATTCAGAGTGCCCTCTACTAGACCATCCACATTCAGAATGCCCTCTTCTGGACCATCCCCCCTACTA